TTCCAATAACAGAATGCTATATATCACTATGCTTTGTATAAGAAAAAGCACTGGTAGTTGCAAAATTTACTTCCAACTCAGTTTAAATTTGTGCCAGTTCAATCAGTGCTGAGTTATTTCTCCATAATAAAAATATGCTAAAACAAGGAAAAGTTCATAAGGTGTAAAAATGAAGAACAAGTATGAACCTAATGCTTTTGAGTATGTGAACTTTCCCAGATTATTAAAATAATGAAAATATTTTTACTTCATGAGAGGTTTTTAGTGGCTAATCATTTATACTTTGTTTTGAAATATGACATGCATGTATCTTAACACAGAACTTGCATTCAGAAGTTTTCCTTTCCTGTGGAGTTTTGAAATGAAATTTCACTCAAACTTTATTGGTCTGTATATATAGATGTATATCATCTATGTATGTATGCATGCATGTATATATGTATGTATGTATGTTTGTATGTGTGTATCTGTCTGTCTATCTATGTATCTTTCTATGTATGCAGTGCTAGGGTTTGAATTCAGGGCCTCAAAGTTGCTTGGTAGACATTCTACCACTTAAGATATACTCTTGCTATTGGTACTTTAGATTATTTAAAATACAGTCTTGTGGTTTTGTCTAGTACAACTATTCATGCTTCTTATGTAGCTGAGATGACAAGAAGTTTGACCACCACACTCAGCTTATTCATTGAGATGAGATCTCACTAACTTTTTGCCTGGGCTGGCCTTTAACTAAGATCCTATCAGTCTTCACCTGCTAAATACTGGGATAACAGCTATGAGCTATTGTGCACAGACTAATTTATATTTTTAGGAGAAGTGATGATAGCCAGGATAAAGATTAATTTGTTTTGGGGAAAAGCATTTTATCATCTGTTAAGGAAGCTAAATGAATAGTTTCAGATATTATAAAGGCTATTTAAATTGCAATTAAAGGTACCTAGAGAACTTTCTTTTTTTTTTTAATTGTAAAGGTGATGTACAGAGGGGTTATAGTTACAAAAGTAAGGTAGTGAGTAAATTTCTTTTTCTTTTTTTTATTGTGAAAATACTGTACAGAGAGGTTACAATTACATGGGCAAGATAATGAGTACATTTCTTATTAAGCATTGTAGCCTCCTCCTTTGTTTCCCCTTCCCATCCCTTCCCTTCCTCCCCCTCCTCCTCACCCACTCCTCCTACCCCCTCCCTCCCCACCAAAGTTGTAAAGTTCATTTTTCTACATAACGACTTGTACATCTCATTGTTGCAATGGGTCCACCTGTATCCCTATTTAAACGATTTGCTTTTTCCCTTCCCCTCTACAAATTATACCAACATCAAATACAGTGAAAGCAGGGTTATACTGTGGGAGAGGGACATACAAAGCAACAATGAAGTAATCTTATAAATGTGTTAGAAACGATCGCATGAAAGAAAAAAAATATTTGAATACATGTCTTAGGGTTCATTTCCCTAACATCACCTTATCTGACCTTTTCTGCTTGTCTCAGACATATACTAGTTATTGCAAATAAGGGAAACCATGGGACCTATGTTTCTTTGGGCCTGTCTTATTTTACTTAATATAATTTTTTCCAAGTCTTTCCATTTCCTAACAAATGGGGCAATGTCATTCTTTCTGATGGAGGCATATTTCTTTTTGAACACTGTTACCCCCTCCCTTGTTTTCTTACACTTTCCACCCCTCCACTCTTCTCCCTTTCAAGTTGTAAAATTCATTTCCAACACACTGTGTAAATATCGCTGTTGCATTGGTTCACCCTTTGTCCCACTGTTTCCATGCTTCCTCTTCCTTTCACCCAATCAAATAAACTTACATACTAGACAAAGGGTACTGAAATCAGAAACAGTGACCCTGGGGAATAAACCAGAGCAGAAATAAAGAAAGACAAAAGAAATAACTGCAAACAGTACACTAAAAAAAGAAAAACGAAAAACAATGCAACCACCCTCTTGTTTCCATGTCATGGAGATCATTTTGATTAGCATCATTTTTATATGGTCATATGTACATAGTTATTGGGCTATTGTGAACCTCTGCTAGGACTATCCTAGGCAGATACTAATTACTACAAATGAGGGAAATCATGAGCCCACATTTCTTTGGGTCTGGCTTATGTCACTTAATATGATTTTTTCAAGTCCTTCCATTTCCTTACAAATGGGGCAATGTCATCCTTTCTGATGGAAGCATTGAATTCCATTGTGTATATATACCACATTTTCTTGATCCATTTATCTATTGAGGGGCATCTGGGTTAGTTCTATATCTTAGCAATGGTAAATGATCCTGCAGTGAACATGGTTGTGCTGGTAGCTTTAGTATGGCCTTGTTTGTGATCATTTGGGTAAATGTCCAGGAGTGAGATTGCTGGGTCATAGGGGAGCTTTATGTTTAGTCTTTGAGGCACCTGCATACTGCTTTCCAGAGTGGTTGAACAAGTTTATATTCCCACCAACAGGGTAGCAGCATTCCTTTTTGGCCATATCCCAGCCAGCATCTGTTATTATTTGTTTTCTTTATAATGGCCCTTCTAACTGGAATTTCAATGTTTTTTTGATTTGCATTTCTTTTATGGTAAGAGATGTTGAACATTTCTTCATCTGTCTATTGGCCATTCTTATTTCTTCTTCAGAGAAGTCTCTCTTTAAGTCCTTAGCCCACTTGTTCTTGGGGTGGTCATTTCTTTGAGAATTTGTTTTTGGGAGGGAGTTTAAATTTTTGAGTTCTAAATATATTTTTGATATGAGACCCTTGTCTGTTGTATAGCTTGTGAAGATCTTCTCCCAATCTGTGGGTTTTCTATTTATATTGCTAGCTATGTCCTTTGCCATGCAGAAGCTCTGCAGTTTAATGCAATCCCATTTATCCAACCTTTCTTTTGTTTGTTGTGTTTCTAGATATTTATTTAGGAAGCTTTGACCTGTGCCAAAGAGTCCCAGTGTTTCGCCTATTCCCTCTTGCAGTGTTTTCAGAATATCTACTTTTACCTCGAGGCCTTTGAACCATTTGGAATTGATTCTGGTGCAGAGTGATATATAAGGATCTAACTTCAGTTTTCTACACATGTATAGCCAATTCTGCCAATACCATTTATTGAAGAGGTGGTCTTTCTTCCATCTGATGTTTTTGGCTTCCTTATCAAAGACTAGGTTGCCATAGGTCTGTGGGATCATTTCTGGGTCTTCAAGTCTATTCCATTGGTCCTCAGGCCTGTTCATGTGCCAGTACCAAGCTGTTGTTATAACTACAGCTTTATAATTGAGTTTGAAATTTGATATTGATATTCCTCTAGCACTGTTTTTTCTGCTAAGGATTGCTTTTGCTATTTAGGGTCTTCTATTATTCCATATGAGTTTTTGGATTGCTTCTTCTATTTCATTAAAAAATGTTGGGATATTGATGGGTATTGCATTGAATTTTTAGATCGCTTTTGTCATTATTGCCTTTTTCACGATGTTAATCCTACAAATCCAGGAGTATGTGAGGTTTTTCTACTTCCTTAAATCTGTTTTAACTTCCTTTTTTAGGTTTTTAAAGTTTTCATCATAGAAGTTCTTCACATCTTTGGTTAAGTTAATTCCTAGGCTGAAATCAGGAAATCAATCCTTTTGTAATAGCCTCAGAAAATAAAAAAGATAAAATATCTAGAGAATGTTTGAAGACATTGTTCACATATTCACATATCCATCCATCAGTTTACTCTGCTGCTTGGTCATTATTTACTAAAAATTCTTATTGGGAAATTAATTTATGTCAGACTCTCTACCAGTCTCTGGAAATAGTAAGAAAATTAAATATAATCTCTGCTAGTATGGGAGTTATAACATAGCAAGAAAGACAGATATCAGTTAAGTAACTGATGAGATTGTAAATTGAATTTATTTTCTATAAGTAGTTAAAGTCTATAATATACACTAGACAATTTTTTTGTTTTATTCTTTAAAACTGGTAAGCTGCTATTCACTAAATTCTTTTTCATTTTTTTTTTTCTCTCAAAAACCCAACTTTTCTGGAGTTCTTCAGTGTTAGGTTTGTCTGTGTGCAGAAATGAAAGATCTTAACAGACTAAGTAAGGAATTATTGAAGAGTAAGGTAAACTAAGCATGGTGACTCACATATATAATCCTAACTACTCAGAAGGTGGAGAGCAGGAGGAGTACAATTTGACGTCAGTCTGGGCAAAAAGTTGGCAAAACTTCTATCTCAACAAAAATAAGCCAGACATGGTAACACGTGTGTATAATCCCAGCTCTGTGTGAAGCATAGGTAGGAAGATCAACATCATAGGCTAACCCTTGGCAAATATGAAGGCCCTCTCTACAGTGAAAAAGTATTGGAGGCATGCTCAAGCAGTAGAGCCTCTCCCTAACAAGGCCCCAAGTTCTAACTACAGTATTGAAGAAGAAAAATAAGATATTATCTTTGTGTTACTGTTGAATTAAATGTAGAAAGCCATGGTCAAAGTCATGCAATTACACATGGACAATGCAGATCATTGCATGTTCTTTTGCTAGTATCAACAGTTTAGGTGAGACAAACATGCCATTAAAAGAAGCATTCCATGGGATGTTTTACATAAATGAATGCAAATTGAACATTTATTTTATATGTACTGCCATAGAGAATCTCTAATAATGCGTTAGGCAAATAAAGTAAGTTGCTGAATATCATTTATCCAGGATGCTATTAATTATATATAATAAAGAAATGTTTATAAACTAAAAAAGTGAAAGTAAGGTATTAAAATATTCACTTGCCTTGGAAAAGGGCACACATCATTGTATAGGGTCTTTGAAGACCATCGTCCCACTGATCCCCATAGAAAGCCAGTAACTTGTTAGCTGATGAAATATCAGCTATGTGGTTTATATTTATTACTACAGAGCTATACTTTTCAGCTCATATGATAATGACAGTCCACTGCCTCCCATTACTCTAAAATGTCTGGGAACACCATGATTTAAGTTTGACTGATGGTGAGCTATTTTCACAGGTGATCAACCTTTCTTGATGTCTGTACAAAACTCCATAATTTTTGGAATCTCCCTTGATCCGGAGGTGAAGAGCAATGATGCCATGGTCCCTATAGCAGGGATACAGAATGGTTTTGATGTGGAGTTTGATGACTCAGAGCAATTCATCTATTGGGTTGAGAATCCAGTAAGTTATAAATAGCATTCAAAGTCTATCACTTAACCTCAAAAAGTGCATCTACAGACCATCCTTGCTTTTTTTCCAGGGTGAAATGCACAGAGTGAAGACAGATGGCACCAACAGGACTGTGTTTGCTCCTCTCTCTCTGCTTGGGTCTTCTATGAGCCTGGCCTTAGACTGGATATCAAGAAACATTTATTATACCACGCCTGCAAGTTATTCCATTGAGGTAAAGCTCCCACAATACAACTTAAACAGACAGTGGGTTTGGACTCACATAAATATCTATTCTTAGGAAATGCTGTCATACGGATGTTGAAATTATTTTTCAACAAGTAGGAAATGGGAAGAAAGAATAGTTTTAACTATCAAAGTCTCTGAACCAAAAAAGGAAAATCATCTTAAAAATAGAGCATTGGAACTCTGTTCTATCCTGTTTTATTTCCTCCTATTTTCAATACCACTGTGTTTCTATAAAGACTATTAGGGAGCTAGGAATGGTGTCCACACTTATAATCCTAGTACTTGGGAGATGATTCAGATTTAGAAGCTAAGTCTGTCTCAAGTGCCCCCCCAATATATGTATATATATATATGCATATAAAATATATACAAATATACAACATCATGCAATATGTAAATAAATGTTTATATACACATATGTATATATTTATACATAGTTATAGTATTTATGCTAGTTATATAAATATATAACTTATTTATATATTTACTTATATTTACAGTGCATATATTTTTTCTATAAAAAGAAACTGAGATCCTGTCCCAAAAGCAAATACATAGAAATAAATTAAAATTCTGTAAGAAATTTGGCCAACAGTAAGGCTATAGCAGGCAAGAAATTTTCATTAGTTTTCTTCACCTAATCTCCAGTGCTATTTCAGTTCTCCACTGAATTTCTGGGTTACCTCTGTTCTTAGATGGAAATCTCTCTATAACTACACTATAGTTTTTCTAACAGTGAAACAGAAAGTAGAAACTTGATTCTAATGCCTTTGATATTCTCCTCTGTGAGATAAGTGTTCTTTAGTTCCCAGAAGAAATTCTAGATGGGGTGCAGGCTTGGAATCATATGAAGTACAACCAAAGCACCTTGATTAGTACTGGATTTCTCTGCAAAAGAATTATTAATTTGTCCTAAGGTAAAAGGAGGGTTTTAGGAGAGGGAGAGTCAGCAGGGTTCTGCAGAGTGGCATTCTACTGCTGAGGGGCATCAGATAGGGACTTGGCTGCCCTTGGGAGCATTTGGAATGGAAGATGCTGGAGAAGAGGAAGGCACAGGGCAGCCTGGTGTCAGGCTGGACAGGAAGAACTCCCTTGGGAATGGTGCTTCCTATCATACAAAATCTTTTCTAAGAACTCTCTCCTTTAATTTTCATATCTATGGGAGTAAAGAGGTATATGGGTGCCATTCTCAGGAGAAGGGAATTTACAATAGATGTATGTGTTAACTCAGGGAATATTTCAAACCAGATAGAACCAGTGGGTGTTAAAGAGATCTAGGAAGATCTGGTTCAAGCCTTTTGCTTTATACAAAATGAATTAAAGACAAAGTCCAGGTGGCCAGTGGCTCATGCCTGTAATCTTAACTACTAGGAAACAGACCAGAGGCAGAAGGATTACAGTTCAGGCCAGTCGGGGCAAAACATTCTTGAGACTCCCTCAATCAATAGCTGGGAGCAGTGGTGCACGTTTATCATCCCAACTACTTGGAGAGTGTAAATAGGAGGATTGAGGTTCAGGCTGGCCCCAGGCTGGAAAATAAAATAAATAAAGCAAAAAGGGTTAGGGGCAAGACTGTTTCCTGAGTGCCTGCCTGGCCAGGTCCAGGCAGAATCTAATCCCAAGTATTACAACAACAACAACAACGAAAGCAAGCAAACAAGCTAGAAAAATAGAAAATTGGTTTAAATGATTGGTTGTTATATGTATTGTCATAGCCACAACTCCAGTAATCCAGACTCTTTTAACCCCATTAATAGATGGAGAAGATCTTGCACAATCTTAACTAAAAATATCCTCCCATGGAAACACGGGGAAATCTCATTTCTGTTGTGGCCACATAGTACAAAGTTGTCTCCCTCCCAAATGAAGATTAATAGGCACTTATTCTGTCTCCTACTTTCTTGCTTGGTACATGGGGAGGGAGAAGGAGGGTGTCTTCTCTGTTAAACTGAACGTTTTCCCAGAGTAGCAAACAGTTCTACCCTGGTGTCAGGCACCATGGCAAGGAGCCCCCTGGAGAGTAATGGAGTGCATAGCGTGAGTTGGCAGAACCTCTTGTCCACATTAACCTTAAGTTTGGGGTTATGTCCTGATTGGAAAGATAATATGACTGGAGTCCCAAGACCTGACTTTGGGTGCATCTTGCTTGCTCACTTGATTCAGTTGTTTAACAAGACTTAGGCAATATGGATCAATCTGATGGGTAGACCTGAGTATTCAAAGGTGAAGAAAGGTGTTTGCCTTTTAAGTAGCACACATGTCTGAGATGGAGAAAGGAAAACAAAATGGAAATCATTAGAAGTGAATTTGGTAGGAACAGTGAATGTGAAGGTCTAGATTAGGAGGCAGAGCTCAACCTGAGGACTTCCCTTCTCTAGAGAACAAGAAAGGCAAATTCTTTTAGTGGTTATTTGAGAGTTGAGCCTTGAATGAAGAGCAATATTTTATTTCTGCCAAATCAAGAAGTAGGGAAAAGGGATTCCAGGCAGAGGGATAATGATCCTGAAATACAAAAATGCATTTTAGGTAGAGACAGAACTGGGTTTCCTTCACTCATGAGCTCTTTGACTTTGGACAAATGACTTAACTTCTCTGAGCCTCTGCTTTCTTATTTGTAAAAAATGGATCATGACAGTTAGTACAAGTAGTTCATAACACTGAGGCATCTTATGACTCCAGAGTGCTATTTCCCTTAAATTGTCAATGTATTTAGAATATCCATAAAAGGCTTATGAAAATAATGACCCAAGAGTAAATGAGCCTTTTAAAAATATTTATATTCATTTCTTCCTAAGGTAATAAGTTTAAACAAGTCTAATAGGTGAATGATAAACTAAGATAGTAGAAACAATTCCCACTTACAGTTTATCTATATTCCAGCATGAGCAATTCCCATTTATTTCCAACTTGAAAACAGAAATGTCAAAGAAATTATTTTCCACTAGGGGTAGCTGTGTGCCAGTTCACTGAAGGAAGTGTATATGAAAACATGTCACCTATAGTATGTGAAGGAGAGCTTGATAGAGACCCCCCAAACAAGGAGGGGAACTTAACTTTGAACCAGAGGTCCTTTGTCCCAGGAAAAGGAGAAAGATTATAGCAAAACAAGAGCCAAACTGAGAAAAGAAAATAAAAAATACAGATAGGAGAGAAGAGAATAGGGAGAGAAGGATGTGTGTGTGTGTGTGTGTGTGTGTGTGTGTGTGTGTGTGTGTGTGTGTATTAAAGTGAGAGATGAGGGAAACAAAGTCACATAAATAGCTTATTGCCTTGAAAAGCAACTTTATAAGAAAACCCTAGTGCAAATCAAAAGGCATTTTCTGATTTCCCGTCGCATGTATTATAGTCATATTAAAATGGCCCTGGTTCCATATGAAATTGGCTCCTAGGTCAGTAATCTTCACTTCTATTTTACCTAATAAACACTGTAAATCCAACATTGATAATTAAAAATGGATAAATTTGGGAAAACCACTTGGTCTCCTTTACATTACCTGTAATATGAGCATAACAATGGTATCTACCATAGCATTACTGGGTGGATCAAATGTGATGATTCTTAGTTTAATGCCTATTGAATGGCAAGTTTCCAGTAAATGGTCCGATAAAAGTATGGGCATCTATGAAGCATACTGTACTGGTGCAGTGTTAAGTGATTTCCTTGTATTTAATCTCTTAGCCCTGTGATTGTATGCCGAAAGTACCACTAAAATCCACATCTTAATAGTGAAGATACGGGATTCAGAATTGGACTTAACTTGTCTCAGGCCATATAGTCGTGGCACAGCAAGGCATAGCTTTGAACCCATGTGTTTAAAACTCAGGCTGTTGATTTGGAGCAGAATGCACTTAACATTGTGTGAATCTGATCTGTTTTGATCAACTGTGTTTGCAATGATGGATCACTGAGTGCTTTGGCCCAGTCTCTTGGGATGCAGGAGGACTGTAGTGGTTCTATTTGTCTTCTAGGGGTTTTCTTCTTGCTCTGACTGGAGGCATTTTTGCAGTATATCCAGGCAGTGGTTCTGCTTGTTTATCTATTGGAATCTTTCTGTTATCCATCTAAATTTCTTTAGAAATTTTAGGTGAGTTGGAACTAGGTGACTTTCCTCTTTTAGCTCTCATTTCTCATGGAGCTGATTCCTCATCACTCTGAAATATAATTCTAGGTTATCTGTTTATCATGAAACACTCATTCCTACTTCAGCATTTGTGGTTTTTTTGTGTGTGTATGTGTGAGTAAATTCTCCTTCACCTCAGTGGTCTTTGCTTCCCTGAAAAAAAAATACTGAATTCTAATAAATGATTCTGTGCTGTAGGTGTTGACACTCCGGGGTGACGTCAGATACAGGAAAACACTGATAACCAATGATGGCACAGCTCTTGGAGTTGGCTATCCAGTTGGCATAACTGTTGATCCTGCACGTGGGTGAGTGTTCATAGTGGTATCATGCTCACAGTAGTGTTAGTATCCTGGATAATTTCTAATTTCCTATCATTTGCAAAATACAGATCTTGGTGTAGCTCCAAGTTCTATTCAATATGAGGAATGTAGTTTGTATTTTGTTCTATGTTCTTCAAGTTAATAATACCAAACTTCAAAACCATATAAGCAAGAGTTCCAGGAATTTTGAAAAACAGAATTGTAACACTGGATAATATATTCTGACTTTGAATGAGCACAGAAAGCTTTTAGGTAACGTCTGTACTGGGCCTTGAAGGAAAGAATGGATTGCATCTTGGGAATGGTGGGGAGGAACTTTGTTGCCTCCTTGACCTACCTCCCATCCTAAAACGGAGACAGGAGAAGACAAACATTTCAGCAAGTCAGAGTTACACATGATTAAGTTGGGCACAATGGGTGCGCAAGAGAATAAACGAAAATATAAATGAAGTGGCTACATACGGGTTCTAGTGGAGAGAGGCTGAAGGTTTTGGATATTCAGGTAGGGTTTAAGGTCAGAGAACAAGTTCGACAGGGAAAATAAAATCGAAGCATAGAAGAGATGAAAGAATTTGGTCAAATCAGAGAAATTCAGTATGTGAACTTAAAGGCTGAGATGTGTAGCACTGAAGATAAGGTCAGTGGGTGCATATATTGATTTAATGTTGGAAGAGGATGAGTGAAGATTTTTTACTTAAAGGCTTCCAAGGACTTTTGAGAAAGAGTAGAAATGCTGTCTAGTGAGGCTACAGCAGTAGTAGATGAGATAAAAAGGAATTAAAATTTCAACAGTGGAAATGGAAAGTAGCCCTTTAAATACCTTAATGAATTTGCATTCCATGTGCGTAATAATGCTCAGTTGTCATTAATATGTGTAGTTATTGGGGCTTGGAAAGTGGCTCAGTGGTAGAGTGCTTGCCTTGCATGCATGAGGCCCTGGGTTCAATTCCTCAGTACCACATAAGCAAAAAGAAAAAAGCCGGAAGTGGTGCTGTGGCTCAAGTGGTAGAGTGCTAGCCTTGAGCTGAAGAGCTGAGGGACAGCGCCCAAGCCCAGAGTTCAGGCTCCACACCGGACCCCCTCCCCCCCAAAAAATAAAGTCTACTCTCTTAAAAAAAATATGTGTAGCTATTGAGTATTGTTCATTGATATCACTATGAAGTAGAACAAAACATTTTAAAATATATCTCCTAATAGTATCATGCTAACTGGATTTGACATCCCCAGGAATGTGTTATTTATTAATTTGCTTACTTTCTGACTTAAATTTAAAACTTTTCGTTTTCATCATAGATATTAGATTAGATAAGAAAGTAGTAACTGGTCTTGTGTTGGATGGTGATTTGGAGAGGAATAAAAAAGTGAGGAGGGAGGTATGGGAACTTTTGACACTAACCAGTGTCCTGGTTAGCATGCGATGCTCTGAAGGATTAGTGGTTTGTGGAAGCTTTTCCTTTCTCATAAGCCTCCCACTTGTCTGACTAAATAAAGCTTTAGCCACCAACAGGTTAGCCTCTTGTTTTAAATGGCCTCTACCCCCAAAATGACTAGGAAGCATACCAACTTTGATGAAATACTATATGTGACAGGTATTGATGCTTCAAACCCCTCTCTTGGATTGTATCTTGAAGACAAGAAAAACATATTTCTAATGAAGTAATGAGGTTCCAGACAACATTCCAACTTCTGTTTGTTAAATGCTTTTTATTCTCATGGCTATTGCAGGAAACTGTATTGGTCAGACCAAGGAACAGATAGTGGAGTCCCTGCCAAGATTGCAAGTGCTAACATGGATGGCACGTCATTGAAGACTCTTTTCACTGGGAATCTTGAACATCTGGAGGTTGTCACTCTTGACATCAAGGAGCAGAAACTGTATTGGGCGGTCACCAGCAGAGGAGTGGTATGGCATCCTTTGGTCTTCATTACTGAGCTTCAGTCCTGGTTCTCAGTGTTCTGACTTGTCTAGAAGAAGTTCTTGAGTAATCTTTTTTGACAACTTCTTCTTGTGTTTTATTGCTTTTTCTTCCAATAATTAATCTCCACTGAGTGAATCTCATCTTGAAATCCCATTCTCTGTGGTAGAGCGTATGCATGTGCAGTTCCTGTCAGATAATGTTTATTATTCCCCACTCAAATTCTGCTTTTCTTTATGATGAATAACTCAAGTTGTTATTCCTTGTATTTTCAAAGACATGTATGTAATGTTTTGTGATCTTAGGTTTTTTTTTTTAACTTTGAAATGACTCAAGATTCTGCAGTTTGCACAGAGCAGACAGACAGAAAATAGACTGAGCAAGCATCTAAGCTCAGCATCCTTTCATGGCTACACATTACTCTTCTCCAGTATCCCAACATGACTGATAGACACGCAGAACTTCCTTTACTGGTAGTTTAAACTCCAGTATTGAGTTCATCATATTTTTCAGAAATGATAAAGTTTCATTGAAATCACGTTTGACCTTTCCTGCTTATGCACCTGAGCAGGTGTGAGAGACACGGCAAATGATTATTGTCAATTAAACATTGTTTTGTATGTTGGATTTTATACATGCTCGACTCTTTCTTGCTTTTGAAGCAGAGATTTCAGGTCCTTGGCATTGATGTTTTCCATAATACTGTGTAGTAGTTTAGCTTCAGTTCATTGTGTGTTCTGACTCCTAACATAGATTTAGAATTATAATAAGCTTTAAGAATTAGAAAGAAGTCGTGATGTGTGCAACAGTACTTCACAGGTGTGTGTGAAGCTCTTGCCACATGAAACCCTTGTCACATAATATGGTTACTACATATAAGGTGCCATATACCAGACAGGACTTACGGGTTCCCTCCCCTACTACTGCACTCCTGCTCTGCTCTCCTGAACTCCTGAGCTTGCTAGTGGTGCAACTTTCTGTCCTTTCCTCCAGGCCAGGGTCCTTGTAGTTCTCTTTCTCTTTCCTTCTTTAGTTATCACAAAGTCCTGCCATTCATCCTTAGCCTCTTCCCTTAGGTCTTTCCCTTGCCATCTCCACAGTTCCTGGCTCCCATTACTGAACCCTGTTTTCATGTTGGAGACACAAACCCATAATCACCAAGTTTGATCATTGCTCAGCTGAGGCCCTTGGACTGGAGGAGTAGCTTCCGACACTCCAGTTGAGTTGCTTGGCTAATCTGCTCTGGTTGTCTGCAGCTCTACAATTCACATTCCCTATGTTCTAGCTTTCTGCCATTTCTGTCAGTTTTGGAGACTTAGTCTTCTCTTGGAATTCTGTGTTTCCTTGTCCAGTAAGGCAGTGAGCCAGACTTCATGTCTCCCCTTGACCAATACCTAGCTTAGCTTTGGTATAGAGAAAGCCCTTGAGCTTTTGGAATTAAGCCAGCCTACATGTACATTTTATTTTGCTCACAGAGGAGATTGCTTGCCATTTCCTTTATATGAGTTCTTTTTCAGTGAGTCAAAGTTATTTTGACTAGCACTTGTTACCTGTTCTTACATAACAGCATCATTCTTAGCTCTATCTAGTCTTGCTGCCTTGCGATCCTGGGGCCATGCTTCTTACTCATAATATGAAAATTTGGGTGAAGTTGTTAAAGCTAGGGCTCATCATCTCCTGTGTGATGATCACAACTGGAGTTTTCCATACTCCTTTGAGCAGAAGAGCACATGCAGGGGCTATAGCTTTAGTCTTTTTCTCTTTGCCATGCTGTCAGTTTCATTATCAATGAAACACCTATAGGGGAATTTACCTGACTTTTGCTCAGTTTACCTGTGATGCTCCAATCTGATAGTAGGTAAGAAAAAACTCTAGAAAAGATGGTGTGTAAAAGCAATATGAAATATTATTAGTAGGAGAATATTGTTTTTAATATCTTCTCACCTTTTACTATGAATCACTGAAACTAATGAGAATTCTGACCCTCCAGATTGAACGAGGAAATGTGGATGGGACCGAACGCATGATCCTGGTGCACCATCTTGCCCATCCATGGGGACTTGCCATCTTTGATGCTTTTCTTTTTTATTCTGATGAGCAGTATGAGGTTATTGAGAGAGTTGACAAGGTCTCTGGAGACAACAAAGTAGTCTTGAGAGATAATGTTCCAGGACTGAAGGGCCTTCGAGTTTATCACAGACGCAGTAAGTATTGGTCATTGAAACACATTTGGAATGTGTGATTCATAGTCATATCTCTGTATACACTGAACTTCTGTAAGTGTAGCCCTTCCCTCCAGTCTCCTGCATGCATGTAAGCATGTAAATTACTCAGTTATAATGATGGGTGCTAGTGGCTAATGCCTATAATCTTAAAAGCTATACTCTTAGATGCTGCCTATTGAAACATAATTTTGTAGGGACAATCTAGTTTGATTTACTCTTCTAAGTTAGCATTGTAATGTAGAGGTTTTTATGGTATTGGAAGGTTTTTTTAAAAATTTAATCTAATTTTTTGTGGTACAGGTGGTTGTGCTTGCCTGGAAAGCACTCCCACTTGGACCACACTACTCAGCCTGTTTGGCTTTCTTTTTTCATATAAAGCCTTTTTTTTTTTCTCTAGAGGGTCATGTTAATGCTGTGGCCAAACTGGACTGTGACTGTGGTTTACATTTCTCATTTGGCTGGGATGACACAGCGTTCACTTAGCTTTTTATTATTTGCATAGTTCTTTTTGGATTAACTTTTTGTCCTGGCTGGCCTGGAACTGTGATTCTCCCCATTTCTACCTCCCAAATAGCTGGGATTACAGGCACAAGCCTCTACAACTGGCTAGAGACTTATTGATAGTTTTGACCTTACATAGTTTTTAAATTACCGAGGATTGATTATCAAGAAATTTATTTCCAATTTTATAAACTAGGTATACCATTTGGTATTATTTTTTTTTTATGTAAAAGAGCATTTTTAGTGCTGTTCTTTTATAGGTTTGCAACAAATATCCATACCATTTTTCATCATGTAATTAAACTAATAGATGTGCCACCACATAGGTCAAGAGGTTAAAAAAAAGAACAACAGATTTGTACATTGACTGACCTATCTAAATTACTTGCATGCTTTGCAGAAGAAAAGCTTCATTAAAAAAAACAAACTACTATGCAATATTTGGGGTACTCATTATGTTATGGTGTAAGCTCTCCTCTCAATATTATTTTTTAGTTTAACCCAGCAATTATATAGTTATTAATTTTATAATACATTATTCAGTAACCCAATTTCAGATATTTGAGTTGAAGTGGCATATAAGCATAGTCAAGTCACAAACTGATTTTGGTTTCATTTAGGCATTGGCGAATCCTCAAATGGTTGTAGCAACAACATGAATGCTTGTCAGCAGATTTGCCTGCCTGTACCAGGAGGATTGTTCTCCTGCGCTTGTGCGACTGGATTTAACCTCAATCCTGATCATCGGACCTGCTCTCCATATAACTCTTTCATTGTTGTTTCCATGCTGTATGCAATCAGAGGCTTTAGCTTGGAATTGTCAGATCATTCAGAGGCCATGGTGCCCGTGGCTGGCCAAGGTATGCCAACTCAGAAACAAGTAGCATTTGACTTTAGCTGATGCCAAATTGAAATCCTCGGTTCAATGAAAGCATTTATTTCTTCATGTTTGACTTCAGCACATAGCCATGCTTGTCTTTCCCTTTAAATAAATTGACTCAGACTGGAGTGGTTTAAAAACTTAGTGTACAAGAAGAATGATCTAGGGGACTGTTAAACACAGAGCTGAGCCCTATCTCCAGATTCTTCTGATTTAGTATTCTGGAGAATCTGCATTCTTAACCAGTTTCCAGGGCCTGCAAATGTTTATGGCTTATGAGAGCCATGAGCTAAAGCAAGTGAAGAATGTAATATGGATTTGCAAGAAGTATTACAGAACTATGTCTGTTATTTCAGTTAATAGAAATTTAATTTAGTAATAAATTAGTCCACAAGTGTTTATTAGTATATAGTTGGTAAATTGATGTAATCAGTTCACAGAAGTCATCACTCCTAAGCATATTTGCAACACATCATGCAGGAATCCTATGAATGTCTCAAGTGTTAACTTGTCTCCTAGATGAACTACGGTTTGTAAGTATACATTACAATGAGAAGTGTTTGTTCAGGAATATACAGAAGTAGAAGAGAAGAGGGTAGAAGGGAAAGAAAAAGGATTAAGGGATTGGAGGGGATGGTAGAGCTCTTGCCTAGAAAATTCCAGGCCTTGGGGTATACCTTCAGCAGTGAAAAAACAAAAAAGAATACTTAATAGGTAGTTCTCAGTACTTGATACAGACTACTGACCTTAGTGATGTTTAAGTTTGATCACTTGAAATTCCTGCCTTTTTAAAGTATATATATAGAAATAGAATTTCACCATTTGCTACAAAAGAATTGCCTAACACACAGTGTATAACCTCCAAAATATAATATTCAGTGCTATTGCCTAAGCATATTTTGGATAAATATATTAACCTGTGAAAAATCAGTTGACTTTAAAAAAATTTTTGTATGAAATCTATGAAATTCAGCTTTGACTTTGTTGTGAATATCTTGCTTCTCAAGCATCTTTTGCACATTACAAATGGTGATTTTCTTATTCTGTCACTTGTCACATTTGTTAGATAACATGTTGGTAAAGGGAAGCTCTCCCTTAGTCTATCTAGTTTATATTATAAAGAATTCTTATCATTTTGGACTCATTTAAATTTTTTTAAAAAATTAGTGGGTTATCAATAGTTATATTTGTTTCTTTGATACCTCAAATGGTCAAATTAGGCCAAGGAGAGCTTTTTAAGCAGATCCCTAAGTTTTCTTCCCCTCTCTCATCATCATCCCATTGGTACTGAGTACTTCCTTGCTTTGTGGTGCAATAAGATGTTGCAGATTTACCTTATCTTCCTTGTCCACACCTATAACCAGCCATTTCTCATTGGAATTGAAGCTCTTTAATGTGGGGAGTAGTATTTAGTAACCAAGATCTGGATTGTAGATATGTTTATTGCAAGTGGTAAACAGTTTGGACATTTTAAAGATCTAGTTCTAGCTTGAACATAGTTTAATGGTATTTTCTTAAAATTTTAGGACGAAATGTACTACATGTGGATGTCGATGTGGCTGCCGGCTTTATTTACTGGTGTGATTTTAATAGCTCTGTGTCTTCATATAATGCAATCAATAGAATCAAATCAGATGGGTCTTCTTTTACCAACATTGTTACCCATGGTATAGGAAGAAGTGGAGTTCGGGGTATTGCAGTGGACTGGGTAGCAGGTAAGTAAGCAATGTGCTGATTTTATTGAAAACCCTTTTGTTTTTCATCTCTGTTGTCAGGCTTTATGTGGGGGACTAAGCACAAGTTATAGTTTTGTTTTTATATATCCATATTTAAGATAAATTGAATTGCATAACTAGACTAGGCTCACTAAGCACCATGTTTATTGAATAAACAATAAGATGTTTTGGTTGACAAATTCATTACAGATTAATTATCTTTGTTATTAACATAATCAAAACTTCAGGCCAAGTGTTTAGACATACGTTGTGTTCATTCAGATGCTGTGCAGAGGGGTTACAGTTACGTGAGTAAGGCAGTGAGTACATCACTTGTCAATCATTCTTACCCCTTCCCTTGTTGTTGTCCCACAATTCCTTCCCCATCTCCCCCCCCCCCCCCCAGTCCAAAGTTGTAAAATTCACTTCCAATATACTGTCCTGTGGGTATTGTTATTGCAATGGGTCATCCTGTGTCCTTGTTTCAACATTTTGTTATTTCCCTTCTCATCCCCAGATGAGACAAATGTATGTACAAGTTGTGGGGTACCAAAATCCAGTACAGTGACAATAGGGGGAAGAACATACAAATGAAACAACAAAAAATCATATAGTACATTTAAAACAATAACAACAAAGACAGACCTCTTGTGTCCAATCTTGGGGTTCATTTCACTTAGCATCATCTTATATGGACATATGTACATAGCTTTTGAGCTTTTCAGCTCATCTGATAAGATTATCCCATATGTCCATATATACTAATTATACTAATGTCCATATATATACTAATTACTGCAAATAAGGCAAATCATGGGACCTAAATTTCTTTGGGACTGGCTTACTTCACTTAATATGATTTTTTCCAAGTCTTTCCATTTCCTAACAAATGGGGCGATGTTGGTCTTCCTGATGGAAGCATAGAATTCTATTGTGTGTGTGTGTGTGTGTGTGTGTGTGTGTGTATATATATATATATACACCACATTTTCTTCATCCATTTATCTACTGAAGGGCACTGGGTTGGTTCCATATCTTAGCTGTGGTGAATAATGCTGCGATAAACATAGTTGTGCCAAGAGATATGGATATTAAAATATAATGTAAGCTTGGTACCAGTAGCTCACAACTATCCTAGGTACTCATAGCTGCTCAGGAGGCTGAGGTGAGAGGATCAGGGTTCAAAGCCAGCAGGGGAAGACAAATACTAGAGACTATTATCTCCAAGTCACCAGCAAAAAGCCAGGACTGGAGCTATCATTCAAGTGGTGAGAAAAAAATGAGGTGAGAGTTCAAGTCCTTGAGTTTAAGCCGTTGTGCTGGCACATACATGTAGGTACAAAAGTATGCACACATACATCCCCATGTACATATACAAATTATGTTGTATCCTATATTATATATTATGTACATTATGTATACATTTTATATGTAATATAAAACAAAGTAGCATGCATTTATTTTAAAACCAAGCAATTTTACTTGCAAATTCTTGATTACTTTCTCTTGTTAATAAGAAAGAACTTTCTCTTGTTCATAAGGTGCTCTTCTGTTAGTAGTTATATTGACATACTTGACTCAGTGTTATATTAACCTAATTATATTGATTAATGCACTTAAATTTAAATTACCATTCTTTTTTTCCCCCTAGTCCTAGGGCTTGAACTTAGGGCCTGGGCTCTGTCCCTGAGCTTCTCTGTGCTCAAGGCTGCCACTTGAGCCACAGTGCTACTTCTGGCTTTTTCTGAGCAGTTTATTGGAGATAAGAGTCTCACGGATTTTCCTGCCCAGACTGGCTTTGAACCACCATCCTCAGATCTCAGCATCCTGAGTAGCTAGGATTACAGGTGTGAGCCACCAGAGCCTGGCTACCATTCATTTTTAATGATACTCTGGGAAACAAATGTATTGGAATTTAAAAAAAAATATAATCCAATTTTGATCAAAACAGTAATCATTCTAAATTATTGAGCTTAGTACCAATCTTTTAGAAGATGAACATAAATAAGAGGATCATGGTCCAGGCATAAATTTGAGACTGTATCTCAAAAATAAAAGAAGTCAGAGGAGTTGGAAACATAGCTCCAGTGGTAGAGCACCCGCCTAGCCTGAGTTTAAACCCCAATATTGCCAAATAAAAATATAATGACAGACTTTCTATTACATGGAATCAATAATTTGGGATTACTCTCTTTTTGTTACACTATCTTCACATGATTGTTGTTTTACTGTAGCCTTTGTGATGTACTTTAATACCAGGGAAGTGGATGTTGGTGGTTTTCAGAATGACCTCATTTTAATCTTAAGCGCAGGAATATTTGATAATATTGGTAACAACTCAAGATATTGCCGGCTCTTCCTCTGTGCTTCTTTCACCATGTTTGAGTAGAAGTTATAACATGGTAATCTATAGTTAGTCTTTCAAGTGGGTGGTAAACGTTCAGTACTTCAAGGGGGAGTGGAAGAACATTCTGGAAAATTTACCTTTTAGTGACCTAATGTTTACTATGAAATCTGATCTGCTTTAGAACCTGAAAATGGATCCATTTTTTTTTCTAAATTGAAAGAAGCACTCCCTTTAGTTCCAGAGAATGTATACCTATGTATGTTTTAAAGCTTACACGGAGATACTTATTTTCTTAGAAAAATAACATATATTGACCCAAACTGATTTTGATATGGAATTCCCTTCTTTTCTCCTCTTCATTTTCCATTCTTCACTATCCTCGCTGATGATGATGATTATTATTTACAGGAAATCTTTATTTCACCAATGCCTTTGGATATGAAACCATGATTGAAGTTCTACGGATAAATACCACCTACCGCCGCATTCTCCTTAAAGCCACAGTGGACATGCCTCGGCATATTGTTGTAGACCCTAAGAACAGATACCTCTTCTGGGCTGATTATGGGCAGAAACCAAAGATTGAACGTGCTTTTCTTGACTGTACCAATCGAACAGTACTAGTGTCCGAAGGCATCGTTACACCACGAGGTTTGGCGATGGACCATAGCAATGGCTATATTTATTGGGTTGATGATTCTTTAGATTTAATTGCCAGGATCCATCTTAGCGGAGGAGAATCTGAAGTGATTCGTTATGGAAGTCGTTACCCAACTCCTTATGGTATCACCGTTTTTGGAGATTCTATCATATGGGTAGATCGCAATCTGAAAAAAGTCTTCCAAGCTAGCAAGGAACCGGGGAACACAGACCCCCCCACAGTGTTAAGAGACAATATCTCCTGGCTCAGAGATGTGACTGTCTTTGACGAGCGTGCCCAGCCCCGGACACAAGAGGAGATCAACCACAATCCTTGCTTGGAAAATAATGGTGGATGCTCCCATTTCTGCTTTGCTTTACCTGAATTACCCACCCCAAAATGTGGCTGTGCTTTTGGGACCTTAGAAAGTAATGGCAAGAACTGTACCATTTCAACAGAAAATTTCCTTATCTTTGCTTTGGGCAATTCCTTGAGAAGCTTACACTTTGATCCTGAAGACCATAGCCCACCTTTCCAAGCCATAGATGTGGGAAGAGCTGTGGTGGCTCTGGACTATGACAGCATAAACAATAGAGTCTACTTCACACAAAATACAGGCCTTGGACTTGGCCAGGTTTCCTACATCAGCTTGTATTCTGGCATCCATTCTCCAACTGACATTGTTTCCGGTAAGTGCACTCCAGGTGGAGTTTACTTTGGAAGTAGTTACACAAGGGTCAAGACACACACATGACTATGTGTTTGTAATGCATATTGGGATTCTAACATCTTTGTGGTGTTTTTGTGTATGTCTGCCGGTGTGTGTCCAGATGTAGGGACTGCTGATTGTATTGCCTTCGACTGGATCAATAGGAGAATTTATTACAGTGACTTCCTCAACCAGACCATTAATTCCATGGCCGAAGATGGATCTCAGCACACTGTGGTAGCTCATTCTACAAGGCCAAGGGACATTGTGTTAGATCCTTGCCGAGGGTATGCTGTGGTCTTCTTTTCTTGTATTTCTGTCTGTTCATTTTAGGAGGAAGTGAGGCCAGGAAATATTTTATAGGCTTATAACACTATGGCTACATTTACAAAGGTGAAAGTGATGTTTACCTAGGAAGGAGAAGTCAGTACATAACACCCTTTAGAAGGGAGGGTGCTTGTATTCTAAGCAATTGATGCTGCATCTTAGTAAGTCCCCTTTGAGCAAGTTGTATGTGTGTCTATTAATGTCAATTTGAATATGAAGAGTATTGATACTTTTTAAAGGAAAAAGGTGGAAATGAGTATCAGTTTCCTTGTGGTAAATTCATTATGCTTTCTTTTGGATGTCTAGGTACATGTACTGGACTTCCTGGGGTATCGTTGCCAAAATTGAGAGAGCTACACTTGCAGGAAACTTCCGGGTTCCCATTGTGAACACCAGCCTGGTTTGGCCCAATGGGCTCATTCTGGATTTTGAGACAGACCTTCTCTACTGGGCAGATGCTAGTCTGTATGTATTTTGCTGACTTTTGTGTGTTTTGAAGAGATATTCCCTCTGTTTCCAAAGTAGGAAGATTCCTTAAGATGAGAAAAATATAACATGCCAGAAAGATATTGCCTAAACATAGAATCATTGTTTTAGGAACTAGTCTCTATTCTAGCTTGGTGAATGTATTTGTGAAAATTTATCTGTATCATGAGATTGAGTAATTATGAACTAAAAGACATCTGAAGCTGCATCACTAAATGTATCTGTAATTTCAACTATAATTGCAAACGTAGTTATTCACTTTATAATCAATAGGCCTTAGGTAACTATTATAAAATATGAATGGCTTTTAAATGATAATAATTTTCTTTCTGGATTTTATTATTGTTTCTTTTAAAACATTAGTTTTTTTTTTAGTCTAACTTTTGGAGCATTTTTTCATATGAATGACAATTTATGTATGAAGAATGCTGCAACTCAAATAGATCCCCTTTCTTTTACAAAAATCAATATATCAATTTATGAGCGCAATGCATCTTGATCAATGCCATCTCTTAAATAGATCCTTTTTATCTGCCATGCTTCTCAGCAAATTTCATAATATTTTCATTGTAATTTTTTGTTAACCCTAAATTTTTTTTTTTTTTTTGGGTCTGGTCATGGGGCCTGAACTCTGGGCCGGGGCGCTGTCCTTCAGCTCTTCAGCTCAAGGCGAGCGCTCTACCACTTGAGCCACAGCACTACTTCGGGCTTTTTTTTTCTTTTTGCTTATGTGGTGCTGAGGAATTGAACCCAGGGCCTCAGGCATGTAAGGCAAGTGCTCTACCACTGAGCCACCTTCCCAGCCCATCCCTAAATTTTTTAAATTTTTTTTAATTTTTAATTTTTTATTGGGAAAATACCGTACAGAGGGGTTACAATTACATGGACAAGATAATGAGTACATTTTTTATCAAGCATTGTTGCCTCCTCCTTTGTTTCCCTATATCATCACCCCCTCCACCTCCCTACCTACCCTTCCCCCACCCCGCCATAGTTGTAAAGTTCATTTTCTACATAACATCTTGTACATCTCATTGTTACAATGGGTCCACTTGTATCCCTATTTAAACAATTTGCTTTTTTCCCTCCCCCTCAACAAATTATACCAACATCAAATACAGTGAAAATGGGTTATACTGTGGAGGAGGGACATACAAAGGAACAAAGAAATATCTTATAAATATGTTAGAAACAATAGTTAGAAAGAAAAAAATTTTTTCCTTATCTTGGGGTTCATTTCACTTAACATCAACTTATCTGACCATTTCTGCTTGTCTCAGACATATACTAGTTATTGCAAATAAGGGCAACCATGGGACCTATGTTTCTTTGGGCCTGGCTTATATCACTTAATACAATTTTTTCCAAGTCTTTCCATTTCCTAACAAATGGGGCAATGTCTTCTTTCTGATGGAGGCATAGATTTTCATTGTGTATATATACCGCATTTTCTTGATCCCTTCATCTACTGAGGGGCATCTGGGTCAACCCTAAATTTCATGTTATGTTTACACATAATTTCCAGTCATCTCTCATTCCATTTAGCTATTTTATAATTGAAGGGAAAATGATTTTGTTCATTGTAGTTGGTGTCTACATGTCAGGAAGCTTAACTGTTGATTTCCTCATGATGTTGGCTTGTGATGACAAACACCTAATGTCTAGATCTTTCTCTCTGGATTTCTTATCTTATTTGAAACACAGCAATGATGTTTTGTATCTGATTTTGGCTCATTCTAGTAAATACCTCATTGTAATATATGTCAGATTGAGAAAAATCATTCAGGTTGTGGAGGGACAGATAATGGACACTTTGTGGAGAGTCAGTTGTGTGTTCCATCCTTTCATAATGTTGTCTTGTTTGTACTATCAGCCTAGTTCCTTTGGTAGTATTTCTTGTAGGCTATATTATATTTATTGCAGTGTATATTAATTAGATAATAGTGATAGATCTAGGCAATTGAGTGATATGCAAATAAACTTCCATTACCAAGAGAAACATTTCTAGCTGCCATATGCCTCATGTAAAAAACCAGTTCAGGGCCGAGTGTAAGAGAACGCTTGGGCCTAACCATCATTCTTCTTTCTGGATTTCAGTAATGCTTTCTATTTTACTTCATTTCAGGCAGAAGATAGAGCGCAGCACTCTCACAGGCACGGGCCGTGAAGTCATTGTTGGTGCCTCCTTTCATCCTTTCCGTCTGACTCTCTATGGCCAGTACATTTACTGGACTGACTATTTCTCACAAAAAATTTACCGAGCTAACAAATATGATGGGTCAGATCTGATTCCAATGACCACGAATTTGTTTTTCCAGCCTAGGGATATTTGCGTAGTTAGGAAAGATGAGCAACAGCATTGTAGCAATCCTTGTGATCAGTTCAATGGGGGCTGCAGTCACATCTGTGCACCAGGTAAGGCATTGCCCATGAAAATGAAAACATGTATAATAATAGTAGTAGTAGTTATAACATCTAATAAGGGTGTCTATGGGAATAGTCATCTCTAACAAGAAGAGAAAAACATATGGTTGTCCTTGATTTCAGAGAAGTTAGTTGTTAGCAGATTTCTTTTTCTGTTCTACATGAAACCTTTTTTTGTGTTCTTATTTGACTTTTCTGCTTGTCGCTGACCCTCTACCACTTGAACCACACTTCCTCTTCAGGCTTTTATTTTCTTGTTTATTTGAGATAAGAGTGTCTAGTTTTTTTCTGCCTGACACTAAAAGCATGATTATGGCTCTGATCCATGATTCTTAGATCTCAGCCTCCTTAGTAACTAGGCTTTTAGGTAAGAGCCACAGGTGCCTGGCTCAATAGAGCTCTTTTATTAAGGCATTGATGAAATGAGAAAATAAAATGAGAGCTAGGCTGCCTCACTCCATGACTTGAATAGAGTTTACCCTAATGTGCTTATTTCCTAAGAAAAGCATTTGATTTTTTTCTGCTGAAGAGGTATTATTTATAATTTAAAGTATTTTCTGTAACTGTTTGGATGAGATAATTATGTTTCATATTTTTCCCCATTGTTTCTGGGGCTTGACTTCAGGGCTTTGTGTTCTGGCTTGTGTTTTTTGCTCACTGCTGGAAATCTACCACTTGAATCACAACTCCAGTCTGGCATTTTGCTGATTCAGTCTCCTGGACTTTCCTGTTCAGGCTGGATTCAAGCCAATATCCTCAAATCTCCACCTCCTGAGTAGCTAGGATTACAGGCATGAGCCACCAGCATCCAACCTCATGATGTGTTTTACACAGAACAAACTCATAGGAATATGTGTCTTTTGTCACTCTTTGCAAATTCTGCTGAGAACAATCATTGCTATTTCAGATAGGAGTGGTTGTTTGATGATTAGAGTATGTCAGCACATTTATTTAGACACTGGTAGCTGTTCTTGATGGAAGAAAGACTCAGACATAGTGAAAAGGTTGATGGACAGTGTTTCCATATTTGTTGTGAGGAGCATTTCACATGAAACTGTTGGAATGCTATTCTACCATGAACTCAATGAATGGTTGCTACACTAAATCTTTGGTTTATTTTCTTGTCCCAGGTCCCAATGGAGCTGAGTGCCAGTGTCCACATGTAGGTGACTGGTATTTAGCTAATAACAACAAACACTGTATCATGGACAAAGGCTCTCGATGTGATGCATCACAGTTCACCTGCCTCAATGGGCACTGCATCAGAGAGCAGTGGAAATGTGACAATGACAATGACTGTGGAGATGGCAGTGATGAGCTGGAAAGTGTCTGTGGTGGGTTGGATTCAGTGCTGTGTGTGTGTGTGTGTGTGTGTGTGTGTGTGTGTGTGCTCTCGCACACACCAGCCAGTCTAGTCAGAGTGTGCCAGGATGCCAGTCAGAGCCTAGGAGCTGTCCCTGAGCTTCTTTTTGCTTAAGGATGGTGCTTTCCCACTTGATTCACAGCTCCACTTCTGTTTTTTGGTAGTAAATTAGAGATAAGAGTCTCACAGACATTTATGCTCCAACTGGCTTCAAACTGTGATCCTCAGATCTTAGCCTTAGCTAAGTTAAAGGTGTGAGCCACTGGCACCTGTCTAGATATAGTACTTTTGTCAGGAGCGAAGTGTATCTTTATTCCAAGTGTTTTTGATGCAGAAAGAGTGGGTTTGAGGTTTGTGTACAAGAATTCTATTAGAGTTGAATTACATTCACTCTGAAAGCCAGACCACATTTGTTTAATCATCTCTGGAGTGGGTCACAAGTAAAGGTTTTGGATTTAAATCCTGAAAATGCCATTCACAATCTATAGCTCAGGGAAATTTAACAGACAGCTAAATTAGTGGTTATTAGGGTTCTTGTAGGGAGTGAGAGAATATCTTAAAAACACTTAGGAAAGGATATGGTACATGCTAAGCAGGACTTACTAGCTTGAGAACAAGGGCACTACTGGATTACTGCTGTCATTTTATTAATCTTCATAGCAGATAGGTTACCAACATAATCATTGTATTGAAGTCACTGTCAATCTTTAGTTTTCATGAGAATGAGACCAAGTAAATATTTTGGGATTTTTGAGTTTGAGTATCTTAATATTAAGACTAAAGACTAGGAGGTTTTTTTTTTTTTTTCCCTTGGTGTCCACTCCCAACCTCCCTGCCCCCCAGTTCTGGGGCTTGAACTCAGAGCCTGAGCACTGTCCTTTAGCTCTTTGTGCTCAGAGATGCCACTCCACTATTTGAGGCACAGCTCCTTTCCAGATATTTGGTGGTTAATTAGAGATAATAATCTCATGGACTTTCCTGTCCGGGCTGGCTTTGAACTTTGGTCCGCAGATCTCATCATCTTGAGTAGCTAAGATTATAAGTATAAGCCACCAGCACCTGGGTAAGACTAGAAATTTTTGTTTTCCCTAAGGAAACTGTATTTTTATGCTTTTCAAAATGAGATACTTTTAAATTGAGATTATAGAGAAATAGAGTGACTTTGCTTTCTGCTTCAAACATGTCTTTGTTTAGAAGAGACCTAAAGCATATTTTTGCTTAAGATGTCATCTTGATTTGCAGTACAGTCTGATTTGCAGCTATTTTTGTCTAGGAAGGTGAACTCACAGTATACAATTGTAGAAATAAGGATGCTGCTTGGATCAGGGGTTTCACTTCAACCTGTTTTGTCTTCTCTTAGCCTTCCACACCTGCCGGCCAACAGCCTTCACCTGTGGCAATGGGCGATGTGTTCCCTACAATTATCGCTGTGATTACTATAATGACTGCGGTGACAACAGTGATGAGGCTGGGTGCCTGTTTCGCACCTGCAACAGCACCACTGAATTTACTTGCAGCAATGGGCGGTGCATATCTCTACAACTGGTCTGCAATGGGATGAACAACTGCTTTGACAACGACACTTCAGATGAGAAAAATTGCCGTAAGTGTATTCTAAGTACATACTGTTCTTTTGTACATGAAGTCTTAAGACCATCAGAATGGAATTCTAATGGAATTAAAAAAACCACCCTAAGTATTCATCTAAAACATGAATAAAGTCATTTGATGTAATCTGGTCAGTGATTTTTCAAAACAACTATACTTAATATTTGAATTACACATTTAAATGGATGGATCTGTGGAATTACTGAGCATTTTGACTGAAATACTTTGCTCCTGCTTGACTACCTGCTAGATTAGAAATTTCACTTTATAAATTTTTTTGTTTTTTTTTTTTAAGAATGAGTTACCTTTAGCTGGACACTGGTGGCTCATGCCTGTAATCACAGATATTCAGGAGGTTGAGATCTGAGAATCATGGTTTGAAGCCAGCCTGGGCAGGAAATGTTCATGAAACTCTTAACTCCAACTAAATACCAAAAAAGCTGGAAGTGGAACCTATAGCTCAAGTAATAAAATGCTAGCCTTTAGCAAAAAAGCTCAGGGACAGCAGCTAGGTCCTGAGTTCAAATCCCTAGACAGGCACACATGTGCATACACATACACACACACACACACATACACACACACACATACACACACACACGCACCCCCCACCCCCCACAAGCTTCACCTTTAGTTACAGACAAAAATTACTAAATAATGCACTGTGGTTAATGCGTTCTGTGCAAAAACCTATATAGTTTCTGTTGACTGCAATATTTTTCTTCAGTTTTTCTAGTTAAGAATTTTAGTAAACTGATTTTCCTAAGCTTTCTGGGACTTGTACCTTAGCATCTTAGAGAACAAAAAGAGCAGAATATAGGTTCATGTTTGCTGTTCTCAATTTAGATGTATTTACTTGCTTTGCTGCATAGAATCACACACAATATTTACTTGGCTCAGTTACTCCCTACCCCTTGGTGCTGGAGATTGAACACACTTCAGGCAGACACTCTGCCACTAAGCTATACTCCCATCTGGGTCTGTATTTTCTTAAAAAGTTGTAGAAAATTTCAAACATATACTAAATTAGAATAGCAATGTACTTATCACAACAACATCAACAATTATCAATCAACCTTGTTTCACATATCTCAGATTTCTTGCTAGGGTTTTTTTTTTGCGGGTCATGAGGCCTGAACTCTGGGCCTGGGCACTGTCCCTTAGCTCTTCAGCTCAAGACTAACACTCTACCACTTGAGCTACAGCACCACTTCTGGCTTTTTCTGTGTATGTGGTGCTGAGAAATCGAACCCAGGGCCTCATGCATGCAAGGCAAGCACTCTACCACTGAGCTACTTTCCCAGCCCACTTTTGCTAGTGTTTTAAAGCAATTCCTAGACTTGAATTTCACAGTCATTTCAAAATATCAATCATATCTATTATAAAGCAAAAACCCAACAATAAAGTCCTAGGGTGCCCAGTCCATCTTTGAATTTTGTCATTTTCTGTTAATCTGTTAAATTAAGATTCAGACATGATTTTGATTGAGTTTAAAAAATTGAACATTTATGATTCAAGAGTTTAATCTTTTTATGCCATAACCATTCCCACTGTGTGCACGTGCATGCGTGCAGGTGCGTGTGCGTGTGCGTGTGCGTGTGCGTGTGTGTGTGCGTGTGTGTGTGTGTGTGTGTGTGTGTGCTAGTCCTAGTGTCTGAACTCAGAGCTTAAACATTGTCCCTGAGCTTTTTCACTCAAGGCTAGCATAGTTCCATGCTGTCTTTTTGGTGGTTAATTGGTCATAGAATCTCATGGACTTCAGTGGCCCAGCTGGATTGAACCTCAATCCTCATAACTCCCCTCCTGAGTAGTTTAAGATTACAGGCTTGACACCTGGCAAGTTCCTATTTTTTTATGCTACCAATTTGTGGATTTTTTTTTTTTTTTGGTCGGTTGTGGGGTTTGAACTCTGGGCCTGGGCACTGTCCTTGAGCTGTTCAGCTCAAGGTGAGCACTTTACCACTGACCGCACTCTACCACTTGAACCACAGTGACACTTCTGGTTTTCTGGTGGTTAACTGGAGATAAATGTCTCGTGGATGTTCCTGCCCTGGGCTGGCTTTACACTGCGATCCTCAGAACCCAGCTTCCTGAGTAGCTAGGATTACAGGTGTGAGCCACTGGCACCCTGCTTAATTTCTTAGAAAATTTTATGAGGTGATTTTTCTTGTGAAATACCAACATTTTGGATTTGTAATTGATCTGTCTAATCGATCCCATTCTCTTATTTCCTATGAACTATAGACCTATAGGCTGTGAATAGACACACCTGTGTAGATTTCTGTGTAAACGTGATTCCTCTCTTGAGTTCTCATCAGTTTTTTATTCAGTGGTTTTTAGCATTTGTGGGTGATTCTGTAAATCCAATAGGATATCAAATGTCCATTGTACAACTGTATTATTTCTTCCATGTCTGTTACCTGAAGTTTTACAAAGGAGAAATTTCTCTTATTAATCAGCTAGCTTGTAGTAACTACAAGTATAGGATAAACATATAATTCTTTAATTTGTAAATTTTCAGAGTAATGAGTTTGTAGGAAAAAACTAGTTTTGTGTAGAATTATTGAGCTCATGGATGTATTTGATTTGCTTTAGTGCAATACCACCATTTATTCTTTTTGGTGTCCAGTCATCCTATCTTAGGCCACTAAGTTGAATCCTTTGTTCTTTGACATGATTGTGCTCAGCATTCTATGGCTTTGATGTGCCTTATACATTTCTAGTCCTAAAGTTAGAATTGGTCCCTTATCCTAGGAGATAGCATCCCTTATTTGGTATTTAGAAATTCTCATAATGTTGAATGCCCATTTTTTTATTTTTTTAGAACAGTTTTTTGGTTTGTTTGTTTTGGTCGGTCAGGGGTCTTGAACTCTGGGCCTGAGTACTGTCTCTCAGCTCTTCAGCTCAAGGCAAGCGTTCTACCACTTGATCCATAGCTCCACTTCCGAATGCCCATTTCTGTGTGATTTCATTGATTCCTGGGCCTATTCAGTAGACAAATTAGGAAATACAGTGTTTAAGGAAAAATATTTATATTGACATTTATCATTTAAATTAAGATTGTGGGTGTTTACTTCATAGATTTTATACTTATGCCATTTCTTGTGTTTTCAGTTCCTAATAACATTAACTTACATTGCTTATTTGCTTTAGTCTATAACAATTTCCAAAATACATATAACACACTTTCTAAATTATCACAACCACACAAACGGGACTACTGATGATGAATATATTGAATAAAAGATACTTCTTGTTCTTATATTACATCCCATTAGTAATATACAAGCAAAGTGTTGTCTTAAAACATCTGAATTTTTTTTTATCTGTAGGGTTATGATATCAACTCAGCTTACAGTTACTCAGTTATTAGTCTTGCCAAATTTTAAGAGTTAGTTTTTCTTTTTACCATCGTTATTTTGTTGTTTTATTTATACAAAATTAATGTACAAAATAATGTTCAAAGTTAATGCTATATGATAGGATACATTTACCCTCTTTCTCCCCCCTTCTCTCTCTCTCTCTCTCTCTCTCTCTCTGTCACACACACACACACACACAAACACACACACACACACACACACACACACACACACACACACACACACACACACACATTGAGCACCATTAATCCAAAATTTGGAAATCCAAAATCTGAAACTTTTCTGAGTGCTGACATGAAGTAGGAAATTCTACATCATTTCATGTCAGAATGATGAAAAACATTGCATGAAACTACCTTTAGGCTGTGTGTATTAAATGTACATGAAAAACAACAACATTAGTATTTACACTTGGGTCACACTCCTAAGACAACTCATTACATATGCATAAGTATTCAAAAATGCTATTAACACTTCAGGTACTAAGCATTTAGAACAGGAGGCACTCAACCTTAATATCCTTTGTCTTACAGATAGCCTACTATTTTGAGTTTTAGTTTTATTCTATTGCCAATATATCTTGGAGACTGTTATTCCTTGAGCACATACAAAAATTGCCTTTCTTCCTTTTATACTTATATATTGCTCTATTGTGTGGATATACCATAGCTTCTCTAACTGAGAGTTGGGCCTTTTGTTGATACTATTACATAAAGGAAAGTGTAAAGAAATTGCAATTCCTCATCTCTCCCCCACCCTGGGATCAATTGGAACTATCTCCTTACTAGAGAGACTACAGGTAACATAAATATCACAGGTTGCACTTCTCTGATATCTCTGAACATGCCTTCTAAGCAATGGTTTGAGTTCTGCAGTAGATCTGCAGGACATGGATGTTATAATGATACGGGTGGGTGGTTATAGTGGATCTGTTCCAAATGTTTCTCTGGTTTTCTTTTTCAAGCTGATCGGACTTGCCAGTCTGGATATACAAAATGTCAAACTACAAATATTTGTATTCCTCGAACTTACTTGTGTGATGGAGACAATGACTGTGGAGATATGAGTGATGAAAACCCCACTTTTTGCAGTAAGTAAGATAAAACTGCCTCTCTTTCTGTGACTCCAGAGACACTTATCTTGAACATGCATCAACATTTATAGCCCAGATGTGCTAATTTTGTCATCTAAAGCTGAGTTTGTAAGTGGGTTGTAAGTGCTTTAGGTTGTGATGGAAGGGTGGGAGAAAACCCCAGACCCCAAATCTGCAAATCCACTGTCATTGGAGAGATATTTTTTCCCTGAGTGTTGAAGGTCTTTTGTGTTCAAGTCCTTCAGGCAGAATTTGCCATTTAGTTCTTTCTATTTACTCTGAGTAAGATGGTAATGGCCATTAGTACAGGTATTTTAGTATCCCTTAATATTTGAATCTCAGAAACTTTTATTTTATATTTAGCAGATTGGTTCATTGAAACAATTTCCTATACTTATAGCTCAAGTTAAAAGGTCTTTCTCAAGTTTGATAACTTTGAGATTGTAAGTATAAATAGACATGTGCTTTAAAAATTTAGTACTTTCCTTTCCTTTGTTACCTGGGCAGTTGTTAACAATTGTCGCTAGTACTCTCCCAAGGAAACCACAGAGCATCATAACATAATTTGTCACCAGACTAGGCTGTAGTCCAAGAACAGGAATCAGTTATGGTAACAGCATAACTAGGAAATAGAACTCAGGCTGCAGCACTCAGCTGAGACTGAGCAGATTGGAGTTATTGCTGAATTTTGAGGGACTTCTGCTTTCCCAATAATTCCCACCCCTTATCCATTCAACAAGCCATCAGAATCATGGGCCAGAATAAGGGAGCCAGTAGATCAGGAGAATTATATGATTTGATTTGTATCCACATACTAGAAAATATGTCTGACCAGAGCTAACTAAATCTACTTGAGGAGTAAGTCTATATTCAAAGGCTGATAGGGTCTCCCATTTACTCAGATTAAAATTTAGCATTGCAAGGATGAATAGAGAACTGTTAACTCTCAGAGTCATGGTTAATATATGTATAGGGGGCAAGCTCAGTACAGTTATATTATTGTTTTTTATCTCAATAGAATTTGTTTTATATATATATGTAGCAGAAAAAGTATTTATTGCTATTTATTTATTTGTTTCATTATTTATTGGTTGATGACATGGATTGACTTAACTTGAGGTTCGTGATCTTGCTGTGTTGTCCAGGATGCCCTGAACTCGTGCTCATGTGATCAGTCTGTTCCAGCCTCTTAAGGAGCTGAAACTATTGTCATATGCACTTATACCAGACCCTCTTCAGTATTTCTATGAAATAGAACATTTATTTTTAATATCTGTAACAAAAAATTTGGGAGATTGGGGCAGTACTGCTCTATGTTGGTAATAATCTTCCCTTCCTGTGGAAAGTTTATATAAAAGTCTTTTTCTCAGGCCCCCAGACTTCCTTTTGTGGCAGCTGTTTTCCAGTCTAAAGATTGAGACAGCTCCTTAAAACTGATAAACAGTCAGGTGCTGGTGGCTTATGCCTGTTGTCTTAGCTACTCAGGAAGCTGAGTTTTGAGGATCACAGTTCGAAGCTAGCCTGGGCAGTAAAGACCCTGAGACTCTTACCTCCAGTAAGCTATTCAAAAAAAGCTGGGCGTGGAGCTGTGGCTCAAGTGGTAGAGCACTAGCCTTGAGCCAAAGATACTCAGGGATAGCACCCACACCCCAAGTTCAAGCCCCAGGACTGGCAACAAACAAACACATGAACAAAAACCAAAAACAAACAACCCCTCAAAACCTGATGTGAATCTTGCTGAGGTTTGCTTATGGGATTTATCTTCTGTCCTCCTTCCAGCCACACAAACATGCAGCAGTACTGAGTTCCAGTGCACATCTAGTTGGCGTTGTATTCCACACCATTGGCACTGTGATGGTGACGTAGACTGTCCTGATGGCTCTGATGAACCTGCTTCCTGTGGTAAGAAAACCAACAACCTTGAAAGGCAACAGCAAAGAGCTCGAGAACCTCACTCTCCTCCAACCACTGCAAATGCAACTCAGGGTCAGGCTGCTGCATGCTGGTTCTCCCCGATTCCCTGCCCTCCCAGATGGGGTGGAACCAACTAGCAAATGTTGATCCAAGCCCTGCTAGTTCATAGCACTGTGTGCAGAGCTGATCAGAAAACCACAGCTGCTGGTTGTTGTGATAAAATGAGGTTAGGTTGGTGATGTATATATAGCACGTGGCTTGCAGAAGTCAATTAATTTTAGTTGATTCAGGTGGAATTTCCAAATTTGGCTGAGTTGTGTTTCATGACTATGGGAAGATCCTGAAGTAATTGGAATCAGGACAAGGGACATGTAGGCACATGTACTCTTTCTGTTTTTTTTTTTTTTTTTTTCTGTGCCATTTTATATGGAATGAGGTCCTCTGGCCACTGAGCTGCCTGAGAATTTCCAGGGACCCTTTTGCATGTCTAGTTGTTGTGTCTTGTTTGCATTTGGAGACTTATTTATTTACATTTGCAAATTCTAAACTCTATCCTTACACACTTACAAATTTTAAGCATCTAAAGTAACAACTACTTCTTGTTTTAAGTCTGTTAATAAATCAAATTGCTATATTAAAGGGCCTTAAGCTCTTTGTCAGCTTTTTAAAAATTTTGTTGCTCATGGCTTTACCATTTCCATTTGACCTATACCCCCATTTCTGGCTGTTTGCTAGTTAATTGGAGATAAGAGTCCTCAGATTTGTATGCTGTGTCTAGCTTCGAACCTGATCCTCAGATCTCAGCCCCTTGAGTAGCTAGGATTACAGGTGTCAGCCACCAGCATCCAGCCTCATAGATAGTTTTAAACACACACACACACATAGATCGTGCTAAATGGTTTTGCAATAAGCTTTTTTTCCTGTTTCATATGTTAATATCCCTTTCCTAACTGTTGGACATTTAGATTTCTGTCATTTTTCCCTAATGAAAAAATAATGTTGTATGAGCACTATTTTAGAAACTGCTTTGTGTGTGTGTGGAAGCTTTAAAGTCTAGATCTCTAGAAGTATGTTGCTATGTCAAAGCAGATGAATCTCTTCAAGAAAAGTATTTTTCAGTGGACATTCTTCAAACCAGATTTTTTCACTTAAATTTTTTATTATCTTTAATCTTTAGTTGTACAAAGGAGTTGCCATTTAACATAGCAGTTTATGAATACAATATATCTTGATCAATGTCACCCTTTTTTCCCCTACCCAACCCTTCTTCACTCTTCTTAATTTTGTAGGATATTCATTGGATTCTTTTTCAGGCCCAGAGACACAAAGGATCCAGATCCATGTTTTTTCTTATATGTGAAAGCTAGATTTAGCTTACAAGTGTATCTAAGTAAATACGTTGGATGGTATACAAGTGTATACAAATGTATTAACTGAAATACAGTAGATTTAAGGAAGATCTCAAATAGTAGTTCAGCAAATCAAAATCAAAGTTCAGCAAAATAAAACATCAGGAAGTGAGTTCTCAAAAAGGGTAAGATAGGGTTATGGAGAAAGGGAGAGATGAATGAAGAGGAAGAGAGGGGGATTATGTAGACAAGAATCCAATGTATGTCCTACAAAATTAAGAAGAGTGAGGGAGGGTTGGGTAAGGTAGAGATGTGTGAGAACATTAAAAGGGGTAACTTTGATCAAGACATCTTGTATTCATTAACTGCTTTGTTAAATGACAACTCCTTTGTAAAACTACCTAAAGATTGAAAAAAAGAACTTTTCTGACACGAAGCAAAACATTTTGTTGGCCATAGCAAATAACCTAACTTCTAGAATAACCCAACTTTTAGAAGGTAGAAAAATATAATTCTCTCAGAAGAACAAGAAGTATTAATAAAAAGTTCTAATTGTTAAAAAAGGAAAAGAAACCAGCTTTTGAAAGGTTGTTGTTGCATATGTGTATGTTTTTTGCCCCTTACTGCTCTCATTCTGTTGTGTCTTTAATGATTAAAAATTCCTATACTTTAGTCTACTTCTTGTGGGCCTTGAATTTCTAGTTGAAGGATTTGAGTCAGGGAGAGCTTATTTAAAGTAGAAGGTTGACATGTCACTTTAATTCCATGTTTATTGAGCACCTATATTCTAGGCCCTTTGAAACTGAATCAATAAGGCAAAGTTTTGTGCTCAGGTGGAACTTATTCCTAATGAGAGGAAACAGGCAGCAAATACAATAAAGGAGGAAATTGTATAGTATTATGAAAGGTTTTCGACATCACACAAATGAGGAAAATGAGATCAGGACAAGGATGGGAAGGGCTGGGGAATAGCATGCACACTAGATTTTAAAATGCAAACACATGCAATAGTAGGTGGTTCATATTATTCCTTGGAAAAACTTGCTATTTCTCTATTGAATTTTCTATTTCTTGATTGGATGTTATCCTAGTCACCAGAGACCGTTAGGACTTTGCACTGTCAGTGGACTGCTTTACCTTTGCATCCTGTCACTGGCACACATCTCATTGGAGGCTCCCTCTAGCTGTACAGGGTGAGGTCATACGAGGCTGCACATTTTCTAGACCTGCGGTACAGCCTGCTTCAAGATTTCTGGACTGCAGAGCACTCTTCACTGAAACTGCTTCTTATCTCCTTTCAGCATATGCTGAACGAACGTGCTTAGAACGTGAGTTTAAGTGTGATGCTGGCAGATGCATCCCAAGAGCCTGGATCTGTGATGGAGATAATGACTGTGGGGACATGAGTGATGAGGATGAAAGGCACCACTGTGGTAAGTGAAGCCAGTTAATTCCTTCTTGCTGGAAACACAGTAGAGTTACTTTTCTGTTTGTCAGGAAGATTCCTGTTTAACTGAATGTGCACTAATAGAATGTAACTTTTCTGTTTTCCTCTGGTCTGTTTGACACCATCTATTTGCATGCTTCACAATGAAGGAAAATGACTTCATGTTTGCTTTCTTTCTCTTGCGCTTAACTGATGGAAATAATGTCCTAGGTTTCTAGAGCAGAGGAAGAGAAGTCAGTTTGCCACTCAAACTGTAATAACAAATTATGCTTCCAGGTTCACTGATAGCCTTAGAGCCGGGGTGGGGAGAGTGAATTTGGAGAGGGGTGTTGGGAGGTTTGAGTTAGTCCTTTTCAATGGATTATGGAACATTATTTTTACCAACAAAACCTTATGTTTTCACGTGGAGTGTCTTAGTGGAATGTCTTACCCAGATAAAACAGTATGAAATCAGTGGGTTCCTGGCTTACAGAGGTAGAAAGTGGTCTATAGACAATGGAATAGAACTGAAGACCCAGAAATGAACCCGCAGACCTATGGCCACCTAATCTTTGATAGGATGGAAGAAAGACAGCTTCTTAAACAAATGGTGCTGGAAGAATTGGCTTAACACCTATAGAAAACTAAAGTTAGATCCTTATATATCATCCTGCACCAGAATCAGTTCCAAATGGATCAAAGACCTTGAGGTAAAAGCAGATACCCTAAAAACATTACAGGAAGGAATAGGAGAAAGACTAGGGCTTCTTGCCACTGTTCAAAACTTCCTTAATAAAGATGAAGAAACACAACAACTCAAAGAAAGGTTGGATAAATGGGATTGCACTAAACTGCAGAGCTTCTGCATGGCAAAGGACATATCTAGCAAGATAAATAGAAAGCCCACACATTGGGAGAAGATCTTTAGTAACCATACAACAAACAAGGACCTCATGTCTAAAATATACTTAGAACTCAAAACATTAAGTCCTCCCAAACAAATCCTCAAAGAAACAGCCACTCCATTAGTAAGTGGCCTAAGACTTAAAGACTTAGGACTTTGCATTGTCAATGGATTGCTTTTCCTTTGCATTCTCAGTCACTGGCACACATCTCTTTGGAGGCCCCCTCTAGCTGTACAGGGTGAGGTCATGCTAGGTTGCATACTTTCTAGATCTGTGGCACAATCTGCTTCAAGATTTCTTATTTCCTCTGAAGAGGAAATAGGAATGGCCAGTAGACACATGAAGAAATTCTCAACTTCTCTGGCATAAAAGAAATGCAAATCAAGGGGGGTGGGAGAGGCTGGGAAGGGATGTGAAGGGTAAACAAAAGGAGGAGGCTGCAATGCTTGATAAGAAATGTACTCATTATCTTGCCCATGTAATTGTAATCCCTCTGTACAGTACGTTCACAAAAAAAAAAAAAAAGAAATGCAAATCAAAACAACATTGAAATTCCACCTCACCCCAGTTAGAATGGCCATTATCAAGAAAACAAATAATAACAGATGCTGGCTGGGATATGGCTAAAAAGGAATGCTACTACACTGTTGGTAGTAATATAAACTTGTTTACCCACTCTGGAAAGCATTATGGAGGTGCCTCAAAAGACTAAATATAAAGCTCTCCTATGATCCAACAATGCCACTCTTGGGTAAATGATCACAAACAAGGCCATACTAAAGCTACCAGCACAACCATGTTCATTGCAGGATCATTTACCATAGCTAAGATATAGAACTAACCTAGATGCCCCTCAGTAGATGAATAGACTGAGAAAATGTGGTATAAATACACAATGGAATTCTATGCTTCCATTGGGAAAATGGCATTGCCCCATTGGTAAGGAAATGGAAAGAGTTGGAAAATATCATATTACGTGAAGTAAGCCAGACCCAAAGAAACATGGGCTCCATGGTTTCCTTCATTTGTAATAATTAGTATGTGTCTAGGATAGTCCTAGCAGAGGATCACAATAGCTCAATAGCTATGTACATGACCATATGAGATGAGGCTAAGTGAAATGAACTCCAAGATGTGGAAACAAAAGGTTTTTCTTTGTTGTTGTTTTTAATGTACTGTGTGAAGTTACTTTTTTCTTTTGTTTTTCCTCCTTTGGTGTATCCCCTGTTGTCACTGTATTTGATTTTGGTACCTTGTGTCTTGTATATACATTTATCTGGATTGGGGAAGGGAAGGGGAACAGCAAAATGGTGAGACAAAGGACAAAGGTGAACCAATGCAACAGCGATACTCACAAGACAATATGTTCGAAATGATTTTTACAACTTATGGTGGGGGGAAGTGGATTGGGGAGAGGGGAAGTGGGAGGAAAAACAAGGGAGGGGCCAACAAAGTTCGATAAGAAATGTACTCATTACCTTACGTATGTAACTGTAACCCCTTTGTACATCACCTTAACAATAAAATTAAACTAAAAAAAGCGGTCCATAGATCCATGTGTGTTCTTCCTATTGAGATGAGTGGCTGGCACATGAATTGTAACAACTTAGCCCCCTTCCCCTTATCTCTCATTTATCTACAACAGGATTGGGGAAATAGTTGTTCTGATCTTCAGCAAACATTAAAGATTCTGAATCAGCATCTCATCGCTTACCTCTTACTGGCCTATACCTCACTACCCACCCTCATTCTATTGAGCATGTAATGAAGTTATAAAGGCTTCAGCTTCAGAAGAAAAAGATGTGTGTTGGAAGCCTTAATTCTTTCCCTATTTAGTTCTCTGCCTTTGAGTCATCTAGTATTCCCATCAGTAGAATTTTCATAAAATACCAATCATATTTTCCAATTGCACAATTACACTTCACAAACTAAAACATGATAACAAAATTAAGACATTTGATATCAAAGTAAAAAAAAGGAGTGAATCTCTGAAGCCTTGAGGAAAAAAGATGTTCTTACATTAATTCTCTGAAAAAGTAAGTGAGGTATATTATGATATTCATTTCTTCCTTGTGAAAAAAAATCCAGGGTCTAACACAATTAAGATGGAAATATTATGATGTTATTCCCACAGCAGTATGATTTCCTTCCATTCTCCTTCCATTTCCTTTAAGGCAAGAGAATTGAATGCTTACAAAGAGCTCTTTGATGGTTTCTTATATTGTTTGTATGCTTTGGTTTCAGAGAATCAGACCTGCTCAAGTTCCGAATTCCTCTGCGCAAATAACAGACCTCCAGACAGAAGGTGCATCCCCAAAGTCTGGGTCTGTGACGGTGATGCAGACTGTTCTGATGCTCTTGATGAGCATCAGAATTGCACCAGGAGATCTTGCTCTGCTGACGAGTTCACCTGTGGTAACGGGCTGTGTATCCGACAATCATTTAGGTGAATTGGGGACTGAAAATTTCCCAGCCAATTCTAAATGTCTGTAGAGGGGCTGGGCTGACTTACCCATTAGGCCTAGTGTCCTCAGTGCTTAGCACTCATGATACTTTTGGCCATGGAAATGTTGGGAGTCTTCTGAAATCAAATGAAAAAGAAATTATAGTTTAAAGAACATGTTTTAATATGTAATATTCACTTACGTACATTTGTACCTCTTTGTCAGTTTGGTCACTTTAACTTATACAGGGAACTCAGGATCTTGTGCTTGCTAGGTACGTGCTCTGCCACTTAAAACATGCCTTTGTTTTTTGGTCTGGAACTGAGACTTTCACTCGATACCTGATGCTATTGCTCATTGGTAGCACCTACTAACTGGGTCATGGCTCCAACACTGAACATGACTTTAGCTCCTTTTGCCCTGGTTGTTTTCCAGGCAGGGTCTAACTTTATGCTCAGGTTGACCTGGGAGTGTGATCCTCCTACTTATGCTTCCCTGTCACTGAGGATGACAGGTGAGAGCCATTGTACCCAGTCATTAGCCAAGATGGAGTCTCACCAAGTTGTTGTCCTGATTACCACCTCCCAAGTAGTTAGGATTACCGACTTGAGCCACTACACCTGGGCATGTACCTAATTTTCCATATTTTTAAGGATGAAGGGACCCAAGAAAGGCATCATATTGCCTTGCAAAGATGAATGAAGTAAGTCTGATAGATGAAAAGTTGCCTTTGAAATCAGTAACTCTCTTGGTTTTCCATGGTATAAGCATAGGTACAAGAAATATTTTAATATCCTTTCTCTACTATAAGAAAAATAATAATGAAACATGATGAAGAATAGAGCCTGGTACTTAGTCTCCTGGTTAAGGCGACAACCAAAGAGACAGGTGAGACAGAGCTGAGATGCAGGCTCTTGTTAAGGAAGCAAATACTGGTCAGTGTCCTGGAGAAAAGGCAGGAGGGGCAAAACTTCTGGTACTCTTAAGGAGAAGCAGGAAATCAATTGTAATGTAGAAGATGCCGATTGTAAATGCAGGAAACAAAATCTGAGGTTCTTAGCCCAATGGGCAAAATAAAGTCAGCTCAAAGCTTGCCAGTTTGGGAGATCATCCCTGCTTGGTTTCTTCCTATTTCTCCAAATAGGCTACTTCACATGATTTGTATTCTTAATGTCTCAACCATGTACTCCCTCCACTTACCAAATCTTGGGATATAGAGGGAAATGTTGAAGACTGATGTGTGTGTGTGTGTGTGTGTGTGTGTGCAAGTTTCCATTCTTATGGATGAGGTAAATAAGAACATTCATAAAAACGGAATGGTGGGTGCTGGTGGCTAACACCTGTAATCCTAGCTTCTCAGGAGCTGAAATCTAAGGATTATGGTTCAAAGCCAAAGCAGGCAGGAAGGTTTGTGAGACTCTTACCTATAATAAATTACCCAAAATGCCAGAACTAGAGCTGTGGCTCAAGTAGTAGAGTGCTAGCCCTGAGTAAAGCACAGAGACCACACCTAGGCCCTGAATTCAAGCCCCAGGATGGCATGCACTCTCTCTCTCTCTCTCTCTCTCTCTCTCTCTCTCTCTCTCTCTCTCTCAGGGAGCTCTGAAGAGAATCTGCTCAAGGGGAAAGGTAAGGTATTTTGGGTATCGTAGGACATCCTCAGGTACAAATAGGCATTTGAACACATGGACCTAGAGTGAAGGAGAGATTTGGTGTATGCCAAATGGCACCCATTCATACCGAGAGCAGGAGGAGCTGAGAAGGAAATGATGAGATAGAGGGACAGGCAGCAGAGGTCCCGGGAACCTTTGCTTCAGTGGCAAAATGTCAAACAACAGGCCATAAGTACCGGTGAGATAAAGTACAATGCACAATTGCTTGTGAGTGAGGGAAGCTTGAAGGAAGAAGAGAAGGTTAAATTATGTTGTATAAAGGTAGCAAAAGGAGCAGGGGCTCGGCATCTGCCAAAGAAAATGTAAGAACAAAGTAACTGTCATCTAGAACATGTAGGTATTCTGTGGGATGATCTGTCTGTCCCTTGTCGAGGCCCAAGCAGCTGTTGCTGAACAGACAGCGCCAGTGTTGCACTGAAAACTCGGATATAATAAATTCTGAAAAGTTAGGCAAAGGATCCAAGGCATAGAGCTGTAACGCATCTTAATGAGGACTTGTCTGATTCAAGAGAATGAGATGTCTCTTTCTAAGCTTTGCCTTTATTATAACTGTGCTCTTCTAGCTAACTTGGACTTCTAGGGATTTCATTCATCTTTGTTCTCTCCCCTTCCTCCCTTCTTTCTTGTTCTCCATCCCTTTCCATGTCTCATTCTCTCTTCCTCACTCCCTGACTTGCTTTTGCCAAGGTCTATTACAGAGCAGAATATATATTATATATATATATATATTATATTATATTTTTGGGCAGGGAGAATTAAAGTTGCAATCTTGTAATGTTCTGCCTCTAGCTCCAAGGCCTTTTAGGCAAATTTGTTCTAAACGATGGTTATATATTAGCTTTGTGTGTCTGAAGCTTATATTCCTTTATTCTGATGACACCTTTGTTACTGACAGCAGGACCTCCTTCAGTTAACATAACCTGTATGGGATCTTGGGGTACCATAGAGAAGAGACCAGTCTGGCAACAGGAAATGGAATTGTCCTCACTATGCTTAGGAATGTTAGGTTCTATAATAGCTTCTAGAACAACAGACCTCCTTCCTTTATCCATTTCTTCCATGCTAAGTATGCTAATTTACTAGTTTGAGCTGCTTCTTGTCACCATACCAGCTTTGCTTCTCACAACAGGCAGTAGTAGAATTGTATATAAGATAGAAGGAACAGGTTGGTCAATGTGAGAATCACTCTAGTGAAAAGTAATATATATGTTCATAAGGGACACATCCAATAATTTTACCTTTTTCAGCTTACACCACTTACCTCAAAGTTTCCATGTAGGTACAGGTACTTTTATCATATGGCTACTTGGGATATTGCCAGTGCTTATAATCTTACCTCATTATCTGATGAACAAATCAGATGAACACTGGAATTATAAACACATGATAGATTGTTTCGTGTAGCTCTAGGTCATCATTTCTCAGAGTCACCACGGGCACCATCTCTTCCAGAGATGGAGGTTGATAAGGGCGAGAGGATGTATCATATTAACTATAGTAGTCAACCTGGCATTCAGGTAAATAGAAGAGACAGCAAAACCCCACATGGGTGAAAGCTAAGACTTACTGCCAACTTGTCTAAAAGTAGTCCTGGGTCTTCTAACACAGGTGTGACCATCGCAATGACTGTGGTGACTACAGTGATGAGAGGGGCTGTTCATACCCAACCTGCCCAGGGACTCATTTTACCTGTCAGAATGCTCGCTGCGTCTATAAGCAGTATGTCTGTGATGGTGAAAATGACTGTGGAGATGAATCTGATGAGCTGGATCACCTGTGCCATACCCCTGCACCCACGTGTCCTCCTCATCAGTTCAAGTGTGACAATGGGCGCTGCATCGAGATGGGGAATGTCTGCAACCACGTAGATGACTGCACTGACAACAGTGATGAGAAAGGCTGTGGTGAGTGCCACAGGAGGCTTGGGAGGAAATCTGGGGACTGGATGTAGAATCTCAGCCTTTAAAGCTTATGTTGGCTGTCTAATCTGTCTTCTCTATAGAAAGCTTACAGACTTTTATTCTTGCCTTCATAACAAAAGCAAAGATTTCTTGGTAGATAGTACAAAACATTTTGGATGAATTCTTCAGTCAGGCAGAGAGAATAGATAATGAATACCATTCAGGCCATTATTCAGGTTGAGATCTGAGGATCACAGTTTGAAGCCAGCTAAAGCAGGGAAGTCCATGAGACAGACACATGATCTCCAATTAGCCATCCAGAAAAAAAAAGCCAGAAGTGGAGCTGTGGCTCAAATGGTAGAGCGCCAGCCTTAAGTGAAAAGGCTAAGGGGCGGCGACCAAGTTCGAGTCCTAATACTGACATGTGTGTGCACACGCACACACACATGTTGCTAATTAATGTTCCTAATAATAAAAATAATGTGCTGATTTTCCTTGGACTCTTAGAATGTTCCTTGCCTTAAACTATCTGGAGTGCCTAGAAGTCCCTATCTTGCTCTGTTACCCATCAGTTCCATTCTCAGGTGATGGATTGTGATAGTTTTAGTTTCCTTGATGCTCCAGCCACAGTAAGTGAGCCAGCTGAGTTTATAAAATGAGCATTGTTCATAAGTATTAATCCTGGTCACCACTGGTTTATAGAATGTTATCATTGTTCCCATGGTAAAAATTTAAATGCTTGGAAGGAAAGAACCTATCGATTTTATTTCTATTTTGTTTTCTTCCACTGGTTTATGTCAGTACTTACTACATGCTTCTGCCTAATTGAAATTTGTATACGATACAGTTTCTGCTCTTTAGGAAGCAACATGGAAACCAAGTGCTAGACAGACAAATTCAGAATGAAAAGACTGTGTGAATGTGAAAAAGGTACAATCCATGCAGTTGAAAAGTTAGCGACTTTTGAATAACCTAAGCCATCAGGAATCCTCATGATCTATCTTGTCCTGGCGTGATTTGTTAAGAATTGTCCAGTAGACCATGGTGAGTTCATGGCTGGAGTTTTAGATTCTGTAGTAACTGTCTTTCATCTGCAGGAATTAATGAGTGCCAGAATCCTTCAATCAGTGGCTGTGATCACAACTGCACAGACACCCTCACCAGTTTCTACTGCTCCTGTCTCCCTGGGTACAAGCTCATGTCTGACAAACGGTCCTGTGCTGATATTGATGAATGCTTGGAGACACCCCACGTGTGCAGTCAGAAGTGTGAGAATGAGGTGGGCTCCTACATCTGTAAGTGCGCTCCAGGCTACATCCGCGAGCCAGATGGGAAGACCTGCCGGCAGATCAGCAACATCGAGCCCTATCTCATCTTCAGCAACCGTTACTATTTGAGAAATCTAACCACCAATGGCTATTCTTACTCCCTCATCTTGCAAGGATTGAGCAATGTGGTGGGACTGGATTTTGACAGAGTAGAAAAGAGGTTGTACTGGATTGATAAGGAGAGGCAAGTCATTGAGCGAATGTTTGTCAATAAGACAAACAGGGAGACCATCATAAGCCACAGACTACCAGGGGCAGAAAGTCTAGCTGTAGACTGGGTTGCCAGGTAAGGAAACATGCATGAGTTTTCTGAAAGTTCAAAACTAAAAATAAGTCTAACCATGTTTTTATATTGATAGGAAAGTAATCATTTCATCTTGGGTTAGCAGGTAGATACGTTTATCATTCTATATACTTTCATCTGATTTGCACTTAATACTGAAATGGGATACCTCAGAACCTAAAAGCTAGTGACTATAACAATGTGTGGTGTTATATTATGGAGAGGGGCATTATAAGGAAGGAAAGAACTCTACTCTTCCTAGCCCCTCTCTTAACTGGAGATGATATTAGAGGACCATCCATGGAATCATTGGTGCATCCAGCCCATTCGAAATGCTGACTGAGGAAAGCCTACTTTAAGGCATGGTGTTGGGCCCTAGAGACTTGGAGATGAGCACAGTGTACCCAAGCATTCTTGTCTTAGAGTCCATGAGTGAGTCATTCCCAACCTAGGCTTGCTCATGGAGCAATGGAAAGCTAACTTGAAACTCTTGTTTTGAGATGGCCCTTCTAGAGAATGAGGATGTGTCAGATGGGCCAGTGATGTTTTAACTAGAACTTTACCCCTTTGCCTACACATCTATGTGGTGTGGACTCTATCAGATTCTTGGCAGCATAACTGAGTTAGCTTTGTGTTTAATAGACATGGAAGTATGAGCATGCATGCTACAAATATTCTTGCCATGGACATCATGGACCTCAAGATGGCTTTTTGCCATGTGACCATTTTAAAGATAAAGGTTCAAAAATTGGGAGGAGAGTTTGTTATCTTGCTCTCCCTGAGCAGCTAGACTGCTATAAGTGTTCTAGCATTGCTTGCTGAGAACGAGTGAGCCATTGGCCACATGTCTAAGACAACTGTGTTCTACTCCACCATCAGAAATGGTGATGAGTGATTGGCAGGAACAGAGTTTCACATGGTACAGCTGCTGCCCCAATCTTTGCTCTGGTACAAAGGAAGAAACAGTCCTTCAACCCTTTCTCCCCAAAGTGATAGTGTTATTTTCCACTGGATTTTAACTACTTCTCAATCATGGTATGTTGGCCAGAGGGGAACTTTACATAAGTGTGTTCCAGTGAGAAAAAAAATGGAGTAAGCAAATCTGAGTGAAGGTAAAGAGGAGTAGCTCCCACTAAGGCATTTTCCTGAAAATCTAGGAAATAGTAACACCAAGCTAAACCTTCCTCAAAATGCAAAGGGAAAGAAGAGTCCTGTCACATTTCATTGGACAAGGACATTACTTTTCCTCCTCCTCCTCCCCCTCCCCTTTCCCCCTCCTTCTCCTCCTCCTTCTCCTCTTTCTTCTTTTTTGCCCATCCTAGGGCTTGAACTCTGGGCCTGGGTACTGTCCCTGAGCTCCTTTTAGCTCAAGGCTAGCACTCCACCACTTGAGCCACAGTGGTACTTCTGGCTTTTTCTGTGATTAACTGGAGATGAGTCTCACAGACTTTCCTGCCCAGGCTTGCTTTGAATGGTGATCCTCAGATCTCAGCCTCCCGAGTAGCTAGTATTACAGGTGTGAGTGAGCCACCAATTCCCCTGGCAGGCAGGGACATTTCTAAGATACTATATTTAAAATGAATTTAAAATGAATTTAAAATGAATTTTCCTGAGATTTAAAATGAATTTTCCTCAGTATCAATATTGCCAACATAAAGGGTGTTTGATTTCCAAAAAATCTTAAGTTTGCTATGCTATTTTTTTTAAGTACCACTGTGCATATTGGAAGACAGCATTGGTTCCCAGTCCTCTTTATTTTTCCTCTTTATTTTTCTAGGAGAGGAGGTGAAGAAACTCTTAATGTTTTCATGAAAAGAATCTGATTGTAGGATCAGTCTTTTGTTAGAAATTAGTGGGGAGACAAGAAGTTTACGTGGGTAGAGTGCCCTGTGGCATAATGCGTCAATATGCCAGGACTTGAATTCTTGCTCTTCCACTTACTGATTTTATAACTTTGGGGCATCTATAGCTTTCTTAGGAAAACAGGATAATAAGCACCGCTGTCCAGGGTTCTTGTAATCTTAAGTAATAAATAGTCTTATGAATGTGTAGTTTGCAAGGGAGAAGGAATGCCCAGCTGGCGGGCTACGTGCAGCTTCTTGTGAAATCATTTGGTACATGATGTATACTACTTATATGCTTCTCACTGGCTTTTATAGCCTTCTACACATGTTGATAATTTTACATGACCTATGGATGATGTTCTAAAAATCTAGATGGCCCTTGGCCAAAAAATGGTTGCCCACTCTTGGTAAGACCTATCATTTAGTAAGTGTTCAATAACTACTATTGGCTGTTTTTTTAATGTATATATTTGAAGTATCTTTAAGTAATTGTATAAAGCAGGTTAGAATCTTGTCAAAGATGGAGCCATGCTGTGGCCTGCTCTCCCATCGAAACGTACCCATGCATTCATCTAAGAGTATGCTCCTGTTCCAACAGTTAAATATTGTGACTTCTGACATGGTTGGATAGGGGCTTACTCTTGTAAAGTGGCATTTGAGCCTTTTAGTAGAGAAATCATATATATTCTGACCAGTTGGTAATGATTATCAGACTATGATCTAATGAAATCCTACAGCAGAACTTTCAATTCTCGGAGTATAAAACCCTTTCGAAGGTTTGGGAAATTTTAAGAATGACTTTAAGGATTATAGCACTTATAAATTTATGCAAGGTTAAGACCTCAGGTTAAGAGCACTTGTTCTATAGAATATAAATAGAATGGCAATATAAATACAAGTGGAATATACATAGATTTTATTGACCTGCAGAGTATTTGGGGCTTGGAATAGTTCTGAAGCAGGAGTATGTAGCAGATTCTACTGCATTTGTAAGACTTCTTAAGTTTGATTAAGTAAAATATATGACAGGGTGTAAGGTATTCATTCATTTTGCCAGCCAAGTCTGATAGGGCCAGGCACATGTAAGGTTTCATTATATTAAACCTGTCAAAACTCAGAGTTCTTTCCTTTGACGATGACATTTAAACTGCATTTCATGGCAATCAGTTCTGCTTGCTTGTTTCTCTTAAGCCTGTGTTGCTTGGGAAGGATGCCTTAGGCTGTATTAGGAGAGTAAAAACTAGACTCCTGGGGTGAAGTGTGGATCCAGACTTCCCCATGTAACATTACGTGAACGAGGGGATCACAGGCACATGTTTGTGCATCTTCCATTGCTTCGATTGCAGCAGAGCCCAGCTCCTGTTTGTCCTGTCCTCATTTGGTTGGGGAAAATTACCTTCTAAGAGCAGCTGCCTGTGAAATCCTCAGGTTCCTTTGCTAGAAAATTGAGTTGCTAAATAAAGTGACTAAATAGGTAACTCATGGCTCTCCATTTCAGAAAACTCTACTGGGTGGATGCCAACCTGGATTGCCTCTTTGTCTCCGACCTTGAAGGTCGATACCGCCGCACTTTGGCCCAGCACTGTGTGGATGCCAACAACACTTTCTGCTTTGAGAATCCCAGAGGAATTGTCCTTCACCCTCAAAATGGGTATTGTCTCCTTGTAATCTTGGGCTCTTCCTTTATGCCCGTATTCTACCTCTTTCAGTACAAAAGGCTGCTCTATGATCTTAAGGCCAGTATCTTGCTGGAATTTGTCTTCTACTTTGCTGTCTGGTAACTGGTTTAGTATAATAATAGAAGCTTGGCTTGACCACATGATTTTCATTTGCTACTCTCTTGTCTTTGCTATGACACATCTTTTCACTTTTCTGAGTCACACACTTTGGTTACATGCAAGGAGAGATGTGGTTAAAAAGGAACACCTCTTTAATGGACTTGAAATCCAGTTTATCCTGTTCATTTTTTTTTTTTTGTCCTGAGGCTTGAACTCACAGTCTGGATACTGTTCCTGACTTTTTTTTCCCTCAAGGTTAGGTGGTCTACCATGAGAGTCATAGCTCCACTTTCAACTTTTTAATAGTTTATTGGAGATAAGAGTCTCACAGACTTTCCAGGCTGGCTTTGAACTGTGATCCTCAGATCTCAACCAAGTGGCTACAATTAAAGATGTGAGCCATCGGCACCCAGCTAATTATGTTCGTTCTTGATCACTGTACAATATCCCCTCCGGCTTTTTTCTCTTCTAGATATTTTCTGTTGGATTTCTTTCTATTCTGAGAGGTGCTGCAGGATGTAAACGCCATTTCTTTGTAGCCTTTTGTCAAGTGACTTCCTTTGGCTTTAGGACTTCACCTTCTGTGTTTACTCTCACAGGCATCTCTACTGGGCAGACTGGGGTTACCGTGCCTACATCGGAAGAATCGGCATGGATGGAGCCAATAAGTCAGTGATTATCTCCACCAAATTAGAGTGGCCCAATGCCATCACCATTGATTACACCAATGATCTTCTGTACTGGGCAGATGCTCACCTGGGTTACATTGAGTATGTACATAGAAAAAAGATGAAACAACTGCAAATCTGTGCTTCCATTATACTCATCTCATCTTCTAACTATATATTAGAAGTCACTCCAAGGTTACTTCCAACTAAAACTGCCTAAATGCAGTTTACTAAGCTCTGTGGTGTTATGTAATAGAAAGAGAGTTTATAGCCTGGTACTTTTGTTTATTTTTCAATATTCAATCCATGTTGCTTTCTATATTCCTTTTTTTCTTTCTCCCCTCCTAAATATATAATGAATAGATTTCAGTATGATTTTTCAACAACCATTGAAAAGGCTTTCCCTAAACTACTTTGGTGCATTTGTTGACAAGTATAATGAAATTGTTAATTACTAGTAGAGTCTGTTCACATTTATTCAATCTGACAATACATTGAAATCCTGGGATTTTTGTAGGGGAGGGGAAGTGCTGTTGAGAATAGAACTTAGGGCCTTCCTCATGCTAGCAAATATTCTACCACTGAGCTATATTCCTAGCCTTAGGAATATATAAAAAGTGTGTTAAAAGTGTGTTAACTCTTACATGGTTCAGTAAAGATAATATACATTATCATCCAACCAGAACATGTTTATCTGGGGCATTGCTACTTATGGTTAGTTGTGATATAGTAATGTCTTCATGCATATCCTCTAGGTTCAAAAACTTGGAAGTACCATTAACTTGGCAAAGGTGGACAGAGTGCTTTTAGAAGATCTGGTGACTTAAATTCTGATTGTTTAGCTGTGTGTTTTATCAACAAACACCAAGTTTTCCGTGGCATCTGTAAATGATGGTATTTGGGGAAATATTTTTAATACTGCAGGACTAACATTGCCAAGTCTCTTAGTTGCTAGCGCCACATATTTTTGGATTGAACTTTAGGAATTAAAAAATATGAAAACACCAATTTTAGAAATGGCTCCCGACATAACTTCACAGTAGTAATGCATGGACATGGGCAATAGGAAATGTGGCTGAATTTGCTGTTACACATTGAAATTCGAGAAACTTTTTGAAGGTTCACTCATCTGCAGAAGTATTCAGTAATAATACCCATGATGTGATTAATAATAATAATATTCTGCTGGAATATGCAAAGTTAATTCTGCTAGCCTGTAAGGTATATTCCCTCTAGATTATTCCCTCCAGCTTCTCTCCTGGAATTTTCAGGAGAAGACAGAATTTAAATTTTAGTTTGCTGTCTTTCCTCTCCCAATGATTTAGCATTTTAAGCAGGAGCATCATCATGAGACTGTAAACCTGCAACTGTTGTACCACCTGCAGGACAGCAGCTGTGGTTAGGAGTCAGCCATTGTTCCAATCCCTGTGGCTATTCCTAAACTGTAAAGCCTGCTTTGTCAACTCAGATGTCTTTTGTTCAACCAAAATTCATCCTTTAAATTTACTTTTTATTTTTATTAGAGACTAAGAAGGGCAGAGATTTTTAAAATTAAGTGACAGTAATAATTTATTTATAATGACAGCATTAGGGACACAGGATGAGCTTTTTCATCGAGTGATTGTTCTTGCTGCCCCAGGTACTCCGATCTGGAGGGTCGCCATCGGCACACGGTCTATGATGGCATTCTGGCTCACCCCTTTGCCATCACCATCTTTGAAGACACTATTTATTGGACAGATTGGAATACGAGGACAGTTGAAAAGGGAAACAAATTTGATGGATCTGGTAGGGTAGTGCTGGTGAACACAACACACAGACCTTTTGACATCCATGTGTACCATCCGTACCGGCAGCCGATTGGTAAGTGGATGATGGAGGCAATGGAGGAGTTTGGCACTGTTGTTTTAGGTTCTGTCCATGTTGATATTTTCTAAGGATGAATGCCAAGATTTAGAAGATTGTTTAGTTTTACATATCAATGTTTTCTTAAAAACATATGCTGAGAATATGGAAATATCTTTAGTTTGTTTCCTTTCCCCTGAGAAAGGTTACTTTTAAATTAATTAATTAATTGATTGATTGATTCTGGGTTTGAGCTCAGGGCTTTGTACATGCTAGGTGAGCACTCTACTATTAAACTTTATCTCTGGCCCCCCTCTCCCCCCATGTCTCTCTCTCTGTCTTTTGTGGTGATGCTGGGGCTTGAACCCAGGGCCTTGCATTTTTACTTGATATTTTTCACTCAGGGCTGGCAATCTACCACTTGAGCCATATCGCCAGTTCAGCTTTTTACTGGCTAATTGGAGATAAGAGTCTGGTCTGGCTTTAAATTCTGATCTTTAGATTTCAGCCTCTGAGTCTCTAGGATTATGGGTGTGAGCCATTTTATTCAGCTTGGGTTCTTTTTTTTTTTTTGTCTTTTCTTTTTTGGTACTGGGGATGGAACCCAGGATGTTGCACTTGCTAGGCAAGCACTTTGCCACTGAGCTACATCCCAAACCCTCTTTTTTTTTTATTTCTAATATACAGTGTATTTTCATTTACAAATCAAAGATATGTATTTCTCATATTATTATTATTAATTATTATTATTATTTGCCAGACCTAGGGCTTGAACTCTGGGCCTGGGCACTGTCACTGAGCTCCTTTTGTTCAAGGCTCACACTCTACCCTTTTGAGCCACAGTGCCACTTCCATTTCTTTGAGTGGTTAGTTGGAGATAAGAGTCTCACAGGAACTTTCCTGCCTGGGCTGGCTTTGAACTCCTATCCTCAGTCTCAGCCTCCTGAGTAGCTAGGATTACAGGCCTGAGCCACCGGCACCTGGCTCTGACTTACTTTAAAATAAATGTTTTAAATAAAATGACAACCATTGTAAAACAATTATTAAATGTCTTTTACATATGACATTGTATTATATTAAGTAAATAGTATTCCTGGCTTCTAGATGACAACTGGCAACGACAGCCGCTTTAGTGTCTTCTGTGTTAGAAAATCTGGTGTGTGTGTGTGTGTGTAAACTTCTATTAACACTGTGGCATATTTTAGAAATAATCTAGGTAAGGCCAGTTGTATACTTTAGGGATACATTTCATTTTTCTAAGTCTGCTTTGTTTGCTGTGATGTCTTGCTAAGTATGCAAGGAGTAAGAAATTAGCAAAATAACAGTATTCCAGTATTATCCCATGCTTCTCTCAGAAGTGAATATTCTTCATATTATCTTAGTAAGACTGAAGTTAATCTTCATCTTCACAGCCCTGCTCAGTGTGTTCATCATGTTTCCAAACATCTGTGGCCTGTCTTCTTAGGATAAGAGACAAGGACAGATCTTCTAGAAATTAAAACTTCAACTCAGATTCTGGCATATGAATATGATCTTACATATCCAATATTCTGAGAAACACACATCTTCTAGTCATCAAAACCACTAGTGAGTGGGCCTCAAGTATGAGGTTATTGCTTGGATAACTCCTGTCATTTGTCTTACTTATGAACTTTGGAAAAGGACAAAACTAGGATAATGAGTTTTCTTAGTCTCTAAGCTGTGATTAATTCAATGTCAGCAGAGGTAGCCAGATAATCTGTGCTTAATTTTCCCTTTAACCAACAGAACCTCAATTTTCTTCCTTTCCTTTCTAGTGAGGAATCCCTGTGCTATCAACAATGGTGGCTGTTCCCATCTATGCCTCATCAAAGCAGGGGGACAGGGATTCACTTGCGAGTGTCCCGATGACTTCCAGACCATTCATTTGAGTGACAGAACCCTGTGCCTGCCCAAGTGCTCCAGCACCCAATTCCTGTGTGCTGACAATGAAAAGTAGGTGCCCTTTCCTTTCTCCCCACTCTCTGGTTCATGTAATGGAATGCCAGTCTCCAACCTCAAAAATACTTCCCTTGACTAGAAAGAATTTGTTTGCCAAATTGATCATATATGTATGTGTGTATATATGTGTGTGTGTATATATATATATATATATATATATACACATATGTATATATATATATATATACACACACACACATATATACACACATACATATTGTGAGGAAGAAAATTATTTCTTACCTCAAATAAATCGTATATATATTTATCCCATATAAATTGTATGTATGTATATATACATATATGTACATATATACTCATGTACATATATGTACATATTTATGTATATATATTATGAGGAAGAAAATTATTTCTTATCTCAGATAAATTGTCCTGAGTATTAGGGCCAAAGTATATATACATTTGTACTGAAAAGTAGCCTTCACAGAAGAAAGAAAGACACTGTCTTTTTCCATACCTGTTATAGTCTACTCCTTGGTTACCTATACCGAGATCTAGGGTGACTTGTTTAAGTCCACTTCTGATTTTCTATGTTTGCTGTGAAACAGGACTATAATTATTTACCTAATAATGGTCACAGGCCGTTGATGGCTATAGGAAGTGAGTCAGAGATTCAAGTGGAGAGGTGTATATTCATGCAGATCACACCAGAAATACAATGACAGATTATTTTGGGGATTAAATAAAATATCTGAGATTAAGAATGTAGTATACATCTCTCATAACTTAAGCACTTAATAGCTTTCCTAAATAATAGTCAATCTTTAAGAAATGCACCTTGGCATACAACCTTTAATTACTGGCTTCCAGAATTCCAGATCAAATACTTACTCCATTGTTTTTTGTGCAAGGAACTTCATCACCATAACCCAAATCATGTTTCAGCTTTCTTAGCTCACCTATTCTATCAAGTGATCTTTTCGATTAAGATTCAGCATAGGTAGCGAGGATTTAATTGATCTTCTTCTAGGGCCATGAGAGAATTCACACATGTTATATGGTGTTGATTTCTTCTCTGATAGCTGTTGCTTACTTCTTTCACCCTGCCCTCCTCACCTCCATTATTTTCTAGAGAAATACTGTAATGTCTTTGCGTAGGTGTATTCCTATCTGGTGGAAATGTGATGGCCAGAAAGACTGTGCCGATGGCTCTGATGAATCAGCCCTGTGTCCACAACGCTTTTGCCAGCTAGGACAATTCCAGTGCCGGGATGACAACTGCACCAGCCCCCAATCTCTGTGCAATGTTGACCGGAATTGCCCCGATGGCTCTGATGAAGACTCTGCCCTCTGTGGTGTGTTGAGCTGATTTCTCTGTTGCTTAATTTATAGTTGATTGTATACCATGATGATACTGTAGTGATCTCCTCACTGGCCTAAACCAAAAGCTTATCTAAAGTCCTAGAGGTAAAGTTGAGACCCAAGACTTACAGTTTTAGGAATAGGATTTCTAGCCAGGTGTTGGTGGCTCGTAACTATAATCCTAGCTACTCAGGAGGCTAAGATCCTGAAGCCAGCCAGGGTAGAAAAGAGACTCTTATCTCCAATCACATAACACACACACACACACACACACACACACACACACACACACACAGCTGGAGGTAGAACTGTGGCTCAAGTGGTAGAATGCAAATCTTAAGCAAAAAAGGCTTAGGGACAGACTCTTATCTCCAATCACACACACCACACACACCACACACACCACACACACCACACACACACACACACACACACACACACACACACACACACACAGCTGGAGGTAGAACTGTGGCTCAAGTGGTAGAATGCAAATCTTAAGCAAAAAAAGCTTAGGGACAGACTCTTATCTCCAATCACACCCCCCCCCCCCCCACACACACACACACACAGCTGGAGGTAGAACTGTGGCTCAAGTGCTAGAATGCAAATCTTAAGCAAAAAAGGCTTAGGGACAGTGCCCAGCCCTGAGTTCAAGCCCTAGAACTGGCAAAAAGAAAAAAAAAAAGACTTCTAAAAATCTTTGCAAAGGAAATGGTTGTGGGAGATAGTAAGTTGTTTAGATCAGTGGTTCTTTGTCATGTGATGTTAAACCTAAGTTAACATTTAGGGTGAAATGAGGAATTTCTTGCCTTCATTTAAGCAATCACTGTTGACTGGAATATTCATTATTGCTGTACTTAAAAAGACAAAAAAGTCTTCTTAACTAAAAACAACAAGGCAATAAACACAAAGTTAAAGACCATCGTTTAGCAGGGGTACAGAAATAAAAGGTGTGTTTAGTAGCTAGGTCATTCAGTTCCTGTCTCTTAATTTTACAAGCAAGGAAAAGATATTTAAGAACCTGGGAAACTGTAATTGTCAAAGGAATAACAACCAGATACTGGTAATGATCGATAATAAGTATGATAGGATTTAAGTCTTATGGAAAGAAATTAAGTTTGAGTTCTCTAGACTCCATGAGAATAAATTAGAAACTTTCATTCCTAATGCAATTTAAGCTGATAACTAATTTTTTTGCTTGCAGAGAATCACCGGTGTGAGTCCAATCAATGGCAGTGTGCCAACAAGCGTTGCATCCCTGAGGCCTGGCAGTGTGACTCAATAAATGACTGCCAAGATAACTCAGATGAGGATAGTTCCCACTGTGCCAGTAGAACGTGCAAGCCGGGCCAGTTTAAATGTGACAATGGGCGCTGCATCCCTCAGACCTGGAAGTGTGATGTGGACAATGACTGTGGAGATTATTCAGATGAGCCCATTCAGGAATGCAGTAAGTACCTTGGGGAGGGGGGGGGGGCCTGCCTGTGCATGGAGACAGGACCCAGAACCCTCTGCTTCAACACGTAGGACACTCCTGTTTGATTTGCCACATGAACATTGGCACTACAAGGCAAAGCATAGCTGGGTGGTTGGAACCAGACTCTGTGTCTGAATAACTGACACCTCCTTTCATCTAACCATGCAGCCCATGACCATAAGAACACTCACATTTTGTATATCTAGTATGTTCTCATTTGAGAACACGCTGAAGCAGGGAAGTTGAGAGCTAGGTAATGCTCCTTTTACATGTGAAGAAGTGAAGGTTGTATTCCAGAAGTGTTAGTGGCAGGACAAATCCTTCAACTTATATATTTTACTTCAAACCTACTTTTCACTCCCCCCCACCCCCTGCCAAATTACACTGCAAAACAAATGCATGGTGCTGAGATAGAGAGCAAATTTAGGACTCAATGTTTTGAGTCCTGCTCATAGTAGTTAGATCACACCTAAAGCAGATGTATGGCCCTGTCATCCATTTAGTGGGTGACATGGCTGCAGTTACTCATCAGCACTAAGACCTTGAGGAACCACTGGAAAGATGCCTTCCAGTGCCATTTCCCAGCAGACTGAGACCTCAAGTCTGACTTTGCTATCTTCCCCCTTTTCAGTGAGCGCTGCCTATAACTGTGACAACCACACAGAATTCAGCTGCAAAACGAACTACCGTTGTGTCCCCCAGTGGGCTGTGTGCGATGGTGTGGACGACTGCAGGGACAACAGTGATGAGCAGGGCTGTGGTAGGAGGGGCTGTAGGGGAGTGAGGGTTGGGGGGGGGCTGTAGGGGAGTGAGGGTTGGGGGGGGGAGCTGTAGGGGAGTGAGGGTTGGGGGAGGGGAGGCAAAATCATTCCGGGGTCAAGAGTGGATTTCCTGTCATTGGTCCTGGTTTGTTTGTTTTTGTTCTGAAAAAGAATAATTTGTTGATCCTTTACAAACATGTTACATTTTTCATAGCAGTTCGAAAAATTATTAGGGGAATGTAATTTATCTCATCTCAAATGATATCTGATCCCAAATGATGCTGTAGTTGAAAAAGATATTATCAAGATATTGGAGCAAGGTACCTGTGGCTCATGGCTATATTGACTTCTTAGAAGGCTGGGTTGGGGATGATCACAGATCAAGGCTAGCCTGGACATACAGATACAACTTTTTCTCAACTAATAGATGGGTACAGTGCCTGTCATTCCAGGTACATGGGATGCTGAGGTCAAGAGGATCATGGTTCTAAGCTAGCCCAGGCAAAACAGTTCATAAGACTTCCCATCTCAACAGAAGAAGCCAAGCACAGCAGTGTACACCTGTTGTTCTAGCTATGATGGGAAGTATAAACTAGATGGAAGATGGTTTAGGCATGTGTCCTAGACCACGTCTAAAAAATAACCAGTGCAGAAAGGGACTAGAGGCATGGCTCAACAGTAAATACCTGCCTAATAAGCATGAGTCCCTGAGTTAAAACTGCAGTACCACCAGGAGGAAAAAAGTAAATGTTAGGAACTTGTGTAACTTCTCTTAAAGGTAGAATCCTTATTTATAATTGAAATTTTGATTTAGTAAAATTTTATAGCTTGGTTGAAATTGGTGAAAGGCAGTAAAGACTTGATATATATATATATATATATATATATATATATATATATATATATAATCTCCAAAGAAACATTTCCAAATCAGAATGTATCTTATTTGATGCCTGTCACATTCTGAATGTCTTTCTGACTTTTCTTCCAATCATCTATTGGATTGCATAGCTGTGGTCATTTAATATGTGCCCAAAGCACCGAAGGTAATGTGATCATGTCTTTCAGTCTCTCTTACCAGGCCTTTGTTGTAAATGATAAACCAGACACCAATTTATTTTTGGAGCAGTTTCTATAAAAAGGAACAGATCTAATTTCAGGGATTAGGATAGGTTCAACTTCAGCTTTTTAGTTGAAGTGAGTATTGATTGACAAATGAATGTTGCCGGCATTCCTTTCTCTGAAAGCTTCAAGAACATGGTAGCATAATTTCCAGACTGTCTTACAAGGAGACCAGTATGACTTAGTACATTTCTTGACCATTGGCTTTTGGAGCCTTGACTGTGATTGTTTTCTGCAGAGGAGCTAACATGCAATCCTTCGGGGGATTTCCGCTGTGTAAATCACCACTGCATCCCTCTTCGCTGGAAGTGTGATGGGCAGGATGACTGTGGAGACAACTCAGATGAGGAAAACTGTGGTAAGTGATAAGGGTCTGGTGATCCTGAGTGCTATTAGGGCTGGGCATCTGCTTTGGCCCATAATTCATCTGTCTGTGCCACTCATCCTCAAAGAGCAGGAGGATGCATTTCCTTCTAGGATAATTTTTAACTAAGCTTCAGGAGGATGATATTTGGTGAAGTATAGTTTTGGTCAATCACATTTATTTACTCAACTTTTTTAAAATTGCTTAAAAAATTGTGCCAGTCCTAAGGCTTGAACTCAGTGCCTGGGTACTGTCCCTGAGCTTCTTTTGCTTAAGGCTGTTGCTCTACCACTTTGAGCCATAGCTCCTCTTCCAGCTTTTTTGGTAGTTAAGTGGAGATAAGAGTCTCACAGACTTTCCTATTCTGGCTGGCTTCAAACTGTGATCCTCATATCTTAGCCTCCTGAGTTACTAGGGTTACAGACATGAACCACTGGTGCTTAGTGTACTCAATTTTTTTTTTTAATCCGAAGAGGTAACTTATGATAAAGGACAAATATAAGTGAGACAGAAATAATCAGTACCAAGAAAAGTAGAAGGTAAGGCCCTGCTTAGTAAGGTTTTCCCTAATGACCCTAATGATATGTTTTAAAATTTCAAAATTCCAAAGTACAGCTTAACTTTAGCTACCATTTGGAAGTAAGGAGTGATATCATTATGCAATATTGATTATACCTGCAAATACTAGTCACCTAAAAAGTTCTTTTTTTTTTTTTTTTTTTGGTCGGCCGTGGGGCTTGAACTCTGGGCCTTGGCACTGTCCCTCAGCTCTTCAGCTCAAGGCGAATGCTCTACCACTTGAGCTACAGCGCCACTTCCGGTTTTCTGGTGGTTTATTGGAGATAGGAGTCTCACGGTCTCTCCTGCCCGGGCTGGCTTTGAACCGCGATCCTCAGATCTCAGCCTCCTGAGTAGCTAGGATTACAGGCGTGAGCCACCAGCGCCCAGCACCTAAAAAGTTCTAGTTCTTATTCAAGGACTAGGAGCATGACTCAAGTGGTAGAATATCTGTTAGTAAGCTTGCGCTTCTGAATCCAAATCCCTGGGCTATGAACAAATAAATACATAAATATTTTTTACATGAGAGCTTGATCAAATGTTAACATTTTGTTGTTCATTACAAAAAACAGTCCTATTGAATCATATAAGAGGTAATCTCAAGTTTTATGAAATAAAAAATTATCTTATAGTCAAATCACCTTTGGATGAACTTCTTAGAGACCCTTCTGTATAAGCCTTAAAATTAAGACAGACGTCTTGTTTTAGAAGGTGAATGTTTTTCCCAAACAGACTTCTGGGCCTGGAACACAGAAGGGTATTGGGCATGAATGTGGAACTACCAGCTTCCGGGCCTATCTTCTGTGTGTGATTCCTGGTGCACACTCACGGCCACATTCTTTCTTTTTCAGCTCCTCGGGAGTGTACAGAGAGTGAGTTTCGCTGCTCTGATGAGCAATGCATTCCTTCTCGATGGGTCTGTGACCAGTACAATGATTGTGGGGACAACTCAGATGAACGGGACTGTGGTAAGTGTTGGAGGCATATATTTTATAGAATCTTATACTGTAACAGAGTAGGGACTTCAAGCTAGTGTTGACAAGGTTCTTTAGAAGAATAAAATGACCTTTGTATAATTTATGTAACATATAAACCTTAGCATGTTGTAGTGTCTTCTATCTTCTTTATTTTAATTAAAAAATATACTTTTGCCATTATGAAGGTGTTGTACAGAGGGGTTGTCATTTTATAAGTCAGGTGATGACAATGTCACCCCTTTCACTAACTCCCAGGATCCTCTTTCTGTCCCTGCCCACAAGTATAGTTCATTTTCTTTGCTTTATTTTTTAACCTATAGCAGTTTAGACCAATCCTAATAGAAGAAAACAGCCAGGAATTTTGAAAGTCTCATTTAAAGCTAGCCATTCTTTAGGATATTTTTATCTATCCTCACCTTATAAACAAAGCCATTGACCTTCCTACTTTTCCTCAAAAGATTGTCCTGGCATATCCCAACTTCCAAGTAGTGTGTGTGTGTGTGTGTGTGTGTGTGTGTCCACGTCCTCGGGCTTGAACTCAGAGCCTGGGCACTGTCCCTAACTTTACTTCTAGATTCTTTTGGTAGTTAATTGGAGATGAGAGTCTCAGTGATTTCCCTACCCAATTGGCTTCAAATCAAGATCCTCGGTTCTTAGCCTTCTAAGTAGCTAAGATTACAGGCATGAGCCACTGGTGCCTGGAGATATTCCAAGTAATTTTTATAATTTTGAATGTTGGATCTGAGGGAAGTCAGGTGACAGGAAAAGTTGGGGAATTCTGGTATCAGAGGGAAGGCTTTGAGAACTGGAAATGAGGAAGGTGAGGAGGTTTCTATGTCAAGTGGAGATGGTGTGAATTTTGAGAGTCTGTTTATTTGGTGACTACAGTTGTGGGCTTGCTGTAAGTTAGGTACAAGCTGTGGCTAGACAGGGGATGAAGTCCTCACTATACACTTTGTATTACTACCTGTCTGCAAATGACAAGGCCTTAAGGAATGATGGTCTCTTTTTCTTCAGAGATGATGACCTGCCATCCTGAAGATTTTCAGTGTACAAGTGGACACTGCATTTCCAACCAACTGAAATGTGATGGAACAGCTGACTGTTTGGATGCCTCTGATGAAACCACTTGCCGTAAGTTCCTGGCTCCTTGGGATCCTGTGTGACAGGCTGTGTCGACGGCATCGTTTAGATATCCAGTACCTACCACTTCGTAGATGAAAAAGACTGGTGTTTTCTGTTCACCTGAGATCTGAGTCATACCATTTTCATAGTGGTCATTCAAGTTCATTTCATTAACAATGTTTTAAATATCTAGTAGTCGGGGCTAAAAACTGCATGTTATTAGTTGCTATATAAATCATTACTTAAATAAAACATCTGTGGTAAAGAAAGTTTGGACAATGAATAAATTAGTACAAATAATTTATGCTGAGTAGTAGGGCTATATGGAATTTATATCATCAAAATTCTCTAAATTGCATGAAGATATAAAAATGATTTAAATGGGGAATTAGTATGATTTATTCAGTGATTCACCTTTAAAAATCAGAAAGAGTATGTAAAGATGATGTAAAGAGATGAGTGTAAAGTGAGTTTTGAAATGCATGATGTTTAATGTCAGTTCTGGTATAGTTGAACATTTAGTTATACTTGCACATTTAAGACATACCCTATTAAGGCTATGAGGATGAATCCATAAGGATGAGTGGGTTAAAATAGAAAGATCTAAGGGACAAAGACTGGAAAAGCATCCCCAAACGAGTAAATTCATCTCATAATTTTTGTCTCCTCTTCTCCAACAGCTACTCGCTTTCCCAATGGTGCATACTGTCCGGCTTCTATGTTCGAATGTGAAAACCACGTTTGTATCCAGCCACGTTGGATATGCGATGGAGATAACGACTGTGTCGATGGTTCTGATGAAGAGCTTCACCTTTGCTGTAAGAGCAGAGGGAATGGACTGCATGGAAGTGATATTGTCTGGCACAGTCTTGATGTTTCTTACACGCAGTGTGCTACTGTGGGGGGCAGTTAGATAGTCTTTGAGAATAAGATACATAATCAGTATTGATGGGATTTCACTTGGTCTTCATTTCTCTATGTGGAATCGGAGAAACTTGAACTGTGTTCATGGATTTAAACATAAACAATTTATTCACAAGAAATCCGACTTGGCAACACAATGTGCCTAAATGGAGGCAGGTCTCTTGAAGCTGAAGTCTGCAGAGGAGTAAAGGGGTAGATTGCTGCTCTCTTGCTCTGTCCTACTTGGTGCTCTTTAAAGTCCATTCTCCAAATCCCTGGACCTTTAGACAATCCTTATACTTACTTATATAGTCATTTCCCATTAATTTCATAATTCAAGGCCTTATAATTCTCTCTCATTGTGGGCTGTGTGTGTGTGTGTGTGTGTGTGTGTGTGTGTTTGTTTTGTGTGTGTACTAGTACTGGGGCCTGAACTCAGGGGCTGGGTGTTGTTCCTTACCTTTTTTACTCAAAGTTGGTGCTCTACCAGTTGAGCCACAGCTCTACTTCTGGCTTTTTGGTGGCTAATTGGAGATAAGAGTGTAATGGGGAATTTAGACTAAAAATCTGATTAATACTTAATGCTCTGGAGAGTCAATGGCAGCTGGAAATCTGGAAGACCAAACAGGCTAGTATGGTAGAAGTCCATCTTCTACTAGCCTCTCCTCTCTCATGATCATTGCTGTTCTCCTCACTCTGTACTCTAGCAACAGAGACCTTTCTCAAGGTCCCTATTTTGCCATGTTCCTCCTCCATGGAGCCTCTTCTGACCCTTCCTCCCTGCATAGAGTATGAACTCTCCCATTGAATGCCCCTTAGTGGTCCATGTGTGAAGTTTCTTCCTGTTGGAATAAAGTTCCAGGCAGACAAGGATTGTGTCTTTCTTGTTCCTCATTGGTGCATAGTAGAGACTCAAGATGTGCTTGTTGATTGATTCATAAGCAAATGAAGGAAGGAAGGAAGCAATCCCGGAACTGGACAAGCACGGGGTTCTGGGTTTTAGGTATTCATATTCTCCTCTTAACTCACAATTTCATCTCTCCATCTTTCCTTTCAGTCAATGTTACCTGTGAAGCGCCTTCCCGTTTCCGGTGTGACAATGGTCGCTGCATTTATTTTCACCAGCTGTGCAACACTCTGGATGACTGTGGAGATGGGACTGATGAGAAAGTGGAGCACTGTAAGCAAAAGGAAAAGGGGGGAAGGATGAATGAGGGCTGCCAATTGTCTGCAGTTTGCAAAATGTACCTGTGGGACAATTAGGTTCATTCAGTGGAGGCTCAAGTGGTGCCTATAATCCGGTGACACAGGTGTTTGTAAGACTGTAAAACACATGTATAACTCAGGTGAAGTCCTGTTATCTCATTTGAGCAAGAGGTTAGCAAATCCCTTAACATTTCAATCTTTTTCAACATTGAATACTGTGTTTTCTTTTCCTTTATCATCTATGAAAGCAAGCCTTAAATATTGTTTGTGTCATACTCAATAAGGTAATTCGTTCTTTTCAACAATGAGGCATGGTCTCATTGACAGCCTGTCAGTTGCTAATCTTGCAGGTGAATAAATATTCTTTCTCATCTCCAGCTGGAAAGATGAAGCCAAGCTGTGTCACCGCTGGTGTCATCTAATCTTCTTGAAAAATGGAAATTTAGTTCCCGGAAGAGAAAAAACATAGTAGATTAGTTTTATAGAGAAGTTTCAAAGTGGCTGCATTTAATCCTTTAGGCATTGGACCTATTTGTACTGTCCTTCTGCTTTGAGAATGTTTTAAAATAAATCCATTGTGGGAAAGAGTTGATTTAATTTTCTGGATAATTTAATTTGCCTGACAAAGTTAGGAAAATTATTTCCCCTGACTCAATGACCCTTTTCTTTCTTTGTTTTTTCCTGAGGAGATATTAGTGGGAAAATTGATATAAACACCTAATTGTTTTCATTTTTCCATTCCTTGTACTGATGGGGGTCTTAGCATGCCCTATCTTAGAGTATTCACTGCCAGTTCCATCCCAGCAGGGATGGTGTTACCCTGGCAACATTTCAGTTTGTACTTTTATTATCTTTTTTGGGGCAGAAATAAATCTATGATTATAATACTGTTACTATACTTATTTGAGACCTTACACAAATGGACTTTAAAAACTTGGTTTCCCCCAATTTTTCTCCCCATTTCCCTTACTAATCATGCCATAACTTGTATAAACCAAGGCAGCTGCAATTATCATCAACCAACAAATCCCAAAATCTCAGGGGTGTGACACACACAGATTTCTTTATCCTCTATATAATGGTCATCTTGTAAACTATGCCTCTGAACATACCTGGCAGCAAGGTGTGGCAACAGCAAAAGAGTCAGACACCTTGGAGACACCTGAATTTCAGCCCAGAGGTGGCACACATCGCTTACAACTTATCTCCCATTGGCTGGAGCTAGTTATATGATAACCTAGCTGTAAGGGATCCTGGAAAATGTAGGGAAGCATGCATTTCTTTAGGAAGTCATAACTGCCTTTGTCATAGAGGGAAGCATCTTGTTTCACAGGAGAAAAGGTTTGGATTTCAACCTGTTCTTAAATTACAGGTAGAAAACCAACTCCTAAGCCTTGTACAGAAGAAGAGTTTAAGTGTGGCAATGGAAATTGCATTTTACAGCACTACATATGTGACAACGTCGATGACTGCGGTGACCGTTCAGATGAAATAGGTTGCAGTAAGTAAACACATTTTTATGTTTCATTGTAGTAACGCAGGTTTACAGAATTGAAGCATGCAGTGACATAAAGCAGATGATAACCACATAGTTTTCTGAACTGCAGTCATTCCCACAGCTAACCATCATTGAGTACTTGTTCTGTACCAACACCGTACTAACCCATTGCATTGATTATCTCATTTCATCCTTGTAACAATCCCATGCCTTAGATATTATGAGCTCCCCTACCCCCTTTTTGGTGACAGTACTCGGGCTTGAACTCAGGGCCTGGGCTATTCCATACCTTTTTCACTCCAGGCTGGCTTTTTACCAATTGAGCTACAGCTCCACTTCTGGCTTTTGGTGGCTAATTGGAGATTGAGTATCATAGACTGGCTTCAGACCCTCAGATTTCAATCTACTATCACATAAAATGGTGGTGCATCAGAGATGTCTTAGATATGAAAAAATATAATATAACATAATTTATTCTCTATGATTCAACATACATTTAGTTGTGTTCAATAATTTTTTACTATAATGTCATAATCCTAATAAGCACAAATCATAGTGCTTATTTATTAACTTATTTATATTTTTTCAGTGCTGAGAATTAAACCCAGAGCCTTGAACATGCTAGATAATTGCTCTATCATTGAGCTACATCCCCATCCTATTATGAATATTTTAGAAAGTTCCTTTCCATCTAGTACCAGTTTTTGGTTCTAATAGCAATTGTATAACATGACTATTTTATTACACCCTAACCAATGTAATATATGTAATTGACTTGTAATATATGGCAAATTTGTTATTATAATTTCCTCTTATTTGAGGTTTTTTAATCTCATTATGTCTTCTACCTACCTGCCACCTACCTACCTACCTACTACCTACCTACCTACCTACCACCTACCTACCACCTGCCTACCTACCTACCCACCTACCACCTACCTACCACCTGCCTACCTATCACCTACCACCTACCTACCTACCTACCACTCACCTACATACCTACCTACCTACCACCTACCTACCTACCACCTACCTACCTACGTATCTACCTCTATAGAATAGAATGAAAAATTAGGAGAGCAGGTGGTTTTAGTTGTGGAGTCCCTGGGTCATAGTTCTGAAGTACAGAAGTGAATGCTGTGAATGTGAGACTGGCAGTGCAGTGTATAATGGGAAATGATATTATACACATTTGTGTAGATGACATTGTGTAGGCCATTCAATGGCTTTGGGAAGAAGCCATCTCAAGATGCTATCCAGTTGATAATAGGCAGTTGCTTAAGGTTCATTTGTGACTGATCTAGCTTGTATGACTCATGAATGATGCTGGGATTTTGTTTTTCAGATCTGGGAAAAGAAAGAACATGTGCAGAAAATCTGTGTGAACACAATTGTACCCAACTGAATGAAGGGGGATTTATCTGTTCCTGTAGAACTGGGTTCAAAGCTGATACTTTGGACAGAAACTCCTGTCAAGGTAGACTAGATTTTCTCTCATCCTTACTAAGAGAACCTTATGAATACTTCATAGGTTCTTTACCTATTTTCCTTTACAAATTACTTGTAATGCTTTAGTCATTAAAATACTCAAGAATGAGTTGAATACCAGTGGCTCATACCTGTAATCCTAGTTATTCAGCAGACTGAGATCTGAGGATTTTGGTTTGAAGCCAGCTTGAGCAGGAAAGTCTGTGAGATTATTACCTCCAAATAATCACCCCAAAGCCAGAAGTGTAGCTGTGGCTCAAGTGGTAGAGTACTAGCCTTGAGCCAAAAAATAAAAAAAAGAAGAAGCTCAGTAATAGTACCCAGTCCTGAGTTCAAGCGCCAGGACCACCCTCCCGCCCCCTGTACTCAAGACTGCCAATTACTTGCTTTCTCTGCATCAAACCGTCTTGCTGGTCCTTAGTGAACTGTGTAGCAGATAGTGCACCCAAAGTAACATCTGCAGATTTGATAGGAATAATGAAAGATTTGATTATGAGGGCTGCTTTTGTACCCATGCATAAAATAAAATTTAAAAAATCAAACAGGATTTCTGTCTTGATCTTAAGTCAAGAAACCTATTTATTATAGATCTACTTAGCAAAAGCATACACAAGTTTTAGGGTATGGAGATGGAAAATAACCATCAAGGTTGTCAATGATGACTATGCATTTTAAATGTCTCTTTAATGTAAAATTATTTAATTATGAAATTATTTTATTAATTAATTTTTATAACAGAATAAATAATTTAGGAAATACATTAAAATTTAACAAAATTTATTACATTATAATTAATAAAAGACATAATAATAAAGTATTGTCTAATTTTTATGTCATACTCAGATTATTTGAAGAGTTCTTTGGTATGCTGGAGCTTAAAAACTCAATTGGAATAGCACAGCAGTGACTCTTATTCCTAAAACTAGTGAAGTACCAACCCTACAGATGTTTTCTGAAAGTGAAAATCTGCTATGCTGTTTTAAAAAATCATACTGCTTCAGTTCATGTTGTTTGCATCTGATTAGTTTGGGGACCTTTTGGCTTAATGATAGTATATATTTGATGGATTTCCTTTTCCAGATTAAATGAGAAAAAGACGTGAAACACTATCTGAAACTTAAATGCTAGTGTTGTTGCTTGTCTTCATCTGTACTCTTCTTGTTCCGCATTGCTTAGGAATATGGATTTAAATTTTTAAAAATGGGGTCTTGGAATCGATTGGAGCAGTTGTTAATATTTAGTTTCATTTTGCCTGCAGACATCAACGAATGTGAGCAATTTGGAATTTGTCCTCAGAACTGTGAAAATACCAAAGGAAGTTATGAATGTTTCTGTGCTTCTGGCTTCCAGTCTATGAGCACTCATCATGGAGAACGGTGTGCAGCTGATGGTAGGTTGCATTCACATCAACATCAAGTGACTTTGGGGAGAGAGAAAAGCTGATGAGTATATGATATGAGGAAATAAACCTTTGACTCGAATCTTCTTTTTAATTTGCCAGCTACGTCTTTTCTAATACCTGCTAGTCTATCTCTTCTTGTTCTCTCTTCTCTTCTGCTAGTTTAAAACACTAACTACCATCTCCCAACAAATAGGTTTGGATAGAGATAAATCAGGAATTCCTTATTGTTCTGGATATAGTCTCATTTCCATTGTGATAAAATTGTGAAAAAAAAAATGGACAGAACGTTACCTTCCAGAAGACTCAAAACAATAACATAAGCTTGTCAGAAGATAGTTATCAGTAGAAAGAAATGAATGAGACCCTTCTACTCCTTCTCTACTGAGATCTAAAACTAAATAATTCAAGAGGAGCACAAAGAATTTTGAGTTAGGGCAGATCAAGGACACTGCTGACCTAGCTCCTTGCTATTGTTCATGGATCACTGAGCAGACAGAAAGGAGGCCTTGCCAGTGAGAACTTCAGTCATTAGTTTTACATTTCAAGCTAATGTTAGTATCTGAGAATCAGGCTAGATGAAAAGCAGTAATGAATTCTAGATTGAAAACACAAGAAGAGAAAGAATGTATCTTCTAAATTTCAGAGATCAGATCTAAATCAGCACATCCCAGTGAAAGGGTATATAGGCCTTTGTTTGGGACTTGAAATTTGTACTAGAGTTTAAGAAAATTAGCAAGAAAATAGCTTTTACTTTCTACATTAAGGGTAAAATTGCCGTACAACATAGTTATATAAATTGGACATGCTTCACATGCATTTGACTAGCATATTTAAATGTTTTATCTTCCAAACATTTCTGATAGTGGACAGAAACTGGAGTTAAAGCATGTGAACAGTTGGTCTGTATTAAACAGGAAATTAAAGAAGTCCAACTCTTAATTAAGGGGATGAGTGGCATAAATTAGAATAGCCATATGACACATAATGTCAAGATTTAGAAAATATATAAAATGAACTCTTAAAAGTTACCTAAATTGCCTTTAATCGACATTTTGCAAGTAAATTACATTTTAACAATTCTAGACAAGCATCTTAGAATGAGTCACTGTTGAAAAATCTACTTTAGGTAATTTTTTTAAAATCAAGAATGACTTTTTTCCTCTCTCTCCTCATTAGCTAGAAGCTAAATTTCATTATGGAGATAATTACTTGCTAAAAGAATCATGAAATTTGTTAGGAAAGAGTGAGAAGTGAAAACTCCCTTAGTAAAGTTTTATGAAGCTGTGAATGTTCTATTTCTCCTGTGAGACAGAATAACTACAGTAGAATATCTACAGTCTTATCTGTTTTCATTTTTTAGTTTTTGATGCCTGGGGCTTGAACTCAGGGCCTGCATGTGCTGTCCCTGAGCTTTTGTGCTCAAGGTGAGCACTCTACCACTTAAGCCATTTCCAGCTTTTTGGTAATTATTTGGAGATAAGCGTTTCACACTTTCCTGCCTGGGCTGGTTTTGCACTTGTGATGATCCTATCTCAAGTTGAATAGCTAGGATTAGAGATGTGAGCCACTGGGGCCTGGCAGTCTTATCTGTTTTAATGTCAGTGGGCAAAGTAGAAACTTGTAGTGAAAACAAGGTTTCTCTGTAGGCATTGCGGCCTTGCTTACACTTCCACTAAGGATTACAGAATAATGTCCCTGGCAGAAGTACTAGCTTTCCATTTGTACTGGGGCCTAAAATGTCCACAATCAGAGGTCTCCTAAACCAGTAGGCAGCCAGCCTTGTTTATTAACAGAGATGGGCAGATTCCTATTTTTTAAAAAATCCATGTTTCTTTTTTAAAGGATAAAACACTTGCAATGCATTTTATAGCAGTGTTCACATCTTAAAGTTTGTGAAATTCAAACAAGATAAAACAGCTCTTGATTCTCCCCCATCCCCCCATCCCCAGGGGACCCACCTTTGTTTCTTCTGCCTGAGAATGTTCGCATTCGAAAATACAATATCTCATCTAAGAAGTACTCAGAGTACCTTGAAGAGGAGGAACACATCCAAAGTATCGACTATGATTGGGATCCTGAGGGCATAGGCCTCAGTGAGTATAACATTGGCATTGGTTGTTGATACAAATTGACTTTATTGACTGTTTCATGTTGAATTTTGGAGTCTTTATTTATTTTTAATGAATGAATGCATAAGGAAACTCCCAATGGGCATGCTCTTGACAGTGTATAGCAGCTGTAGATTCTTGTCAACCTTTTCTGATTTCTCCAAACCTGTCCCCACTTCTTCCTATATTTTATTTCTTCCTCATCTTTGCTTGTGCAGCTCCTATTCGTCCCTATCATTTTATGCTTGAGAAATTTCTACCTACTTTCAGTGCCCCAGCCTCTGACATCTTGGATGGTTGCTCTCAGCAGAGTTCCTATGAGCACAGCAGTTTATACAGTCCTTGCCAGAGCATATTACATTGAGCCATACAGCTAGCTGTCCACAGTCCCTAAATATGTACTCTTTGGAATGAGATTTGATTCATTTCTACATGTCTAGCATCTGGCTTAACATGGAGCACAACATATGTGGTGGCTGCTCAAAAAGCTTAGCTGCTTGACCTTACCATTGACCTTTGTTAGTCTATGAACTTGTCTTCTATCCTGGCCTCCCTGGTCTACAGATTTGTGACTTTAAGCAACTGTAACAATTCTCTGGGGCTCAATTTTTTCCCCTTTACTTCTTTATTTTATTGTTAAGATGTTGTACACAGGGGTTACAGTCATGAGTAAGGCAATGAGTGCATTACTTGTCCATCATTGTTACCCCTTCCCTTCCTTGTTGTTGTCCTACGATCCCTTCCCTCCCCCAGCTCCCCTACTCCTCCCCTCCTCCCCCAAAGTTGTAAAGTTTGTTTCTAATATAATGTCCTGTCCTGTGGGTATCCTTGTTGCAATGGGTCATTCTGTGTCCTTGTTTTAGTGTTTTGTTATTCTCCATCCCCTCCCCAGATTAGACATATGTATATACAAGGTGCAGGCTATCAAAATCAAGTACAGTGACAACAGAGGATATGCCATAGTCTGGAGCTCAATTTTTCATTTGAAATTTAATGTAGTTTTGCTGTTCTTTATACCTACTTCTGTGAGGTGTTTTGAAGATTGGATGGAAGAATACATATGAAATACATACTATTCACATACATAATAAGCTTTTCTGCCCTTCTTTGTTCCTCTATTTCTTTCTCCATTCATTCATTCATTCTTTTTTTACAACAAGCTTTTCAAGAATGCTGCATACCTAAGAAAGCAGCAGGCGCCTAATATATACCTTAAAAGTCATAGTCTTATGCCCAGGGTTGTGTCATATGCCTGTGATCAGCTCTTAGGATCCTGACTGGGGCAGGAGGATTGCCAGTTCAAGACTAGCTTAAGCTATATTAGCAAGGCCCAGTTTTCAAAAAAATCCACCACAGTCTTCCTATGCTTTAACGATATGTGTGGTATACTGCTCTTAAAACTGTACATGAAAAGGGACTTTTTGTCTACCTGGCTTTTTTTTTTTAATTGACACTAATACTGAGCATGACTCCAAACTGTCAGAAGTCTAATATGGTTTATCTATACATTCTATTTTGGAAACTATGAAGTCAATAGGCTTTTGGTCAAAGTATATATATTAGTACATTACCTTCAAGTAGGAACCAACAAGTGATCTGTTAAATAATGTATAGTTATGATAGGTTTTGATATGGTAGGTTTTGAGGCTTGATCATTTTGATAATGGAATTGTTGGTATTATGAAGATGAGGAGGTCAAGATGTCAGTAATTGAATCCCTGGCTAGATTCCAGTTCCACTCTTACCTGCTCCTAACATGAGTCTCTGTGTGTGTGTCTTTCTCTGTAGGTGTTGTGTATTACACTGTGCTAGCACAGGGCTCTAATTTCGGTGCTATCAAACGTGCCTACATCCCCAACTTTGAATCTGGCAGCAATAATCCCATGCAAGAAGTTGACCTGGGCCTGAAATATATAATGCAGCCAGATGGATTAGCAGTGGACTGGGTTGGAAGGTAAATTTGCCACATGTCTCCCTCTTGCCTATTCTGTCTTCCTGGCAAGAGCTGTCTACTCTTCTGCACCATATAAGTAACGTATGGGTGCAGCCTCTGGTGTAGGTCAGTAATTCCTGGGCTTGCCCTGGCCCTGGTGCCCACCTCTGTTTATCCCAGTGTGCCTTGGACATGAGATTATCTCTTGTCTTCTATGTGTGACATGATTGAAGAGGTTGAAAAGCACGCAGGCCTGGCTTCTGGATTCCAAAATTATCTTTCAATATTGCTCATTGTACATTTTGTGAAGAAATCAGAGGGCCTCACGATTCTCCCAGCAAAGCAGTTGAGATCAAAATTGTTTTTTCTCGTAGTAATCATTTAAAAAAAAATCTAGACGGATCATTTCAGGGGAAGAGGTTTGAAATGAGAAAAATTTTCAAAGTTCTAGCCAGTGAGACAACTACTCAAGATTGCTAGTCTCTTCAGCCAAGGGGACATCTTTGGAACCTTCCAGGGGACTCCTGTGTGATCAGCCCAAGCCACCAAATCAACCATGACCAATCCTGGTTGCTGAAGAGATTAGCAATCTGATTTTTCTGTTGTTTAATTTTGCTCCTTTGAACTCAGGCATATTTACTGGTCAGATGCGAAGAGTCAACGGATTGAAGTGGCTAGACTTGATGGAAGGTATAGGAAGTGGCTGATTACCACCCAACTAGATCAACCAGCTGCAATTGTTGTGAATCCCAAACTAGGGTAAGTACTTAGAGGAATTGTTTATATTTTGGAGAGTCTCTCTCTAGATTCTTATAAAATTACATGTGTGCAACGTATTTTTCCTTGTTGTATTGAAACTGTCCTTTGATTTAATTAACTAACTAATTAATTATTTTTTTGTGTGCTAGTCTTGGGCTTCAACTCAGGACCTTCGCACTGTCCCTAAGCTTTACTCGTGCAAGGCCAGAGCTCTGCCACTTGAGCCACAGGTTCACAGCTTTTTAATGATTAAATGGAGATAAGAGTCTCATGGACTTTCCTGTCTGGGTTGGCTCTGAACTTTGATCCTCAGATCTCAGCCTCCTGAGCAGCTAAGATTATTAGGTGTGAACCACTAGTACCTGGCAATTATCTTATTTTTATTTCCTACTGTCTTGGCTTGCTTCTCAGCTGGAGTTCTACCACTTGAGCCATAGCTCAGCCTTGGTTTCTATTGATTATTTTGATTATGTAGTCTCAGAGACTTTCTGCCTGGGTTGACTTCAAACTCTCTGATTCTCTGATTTCAGCCTCCTGAGTAAGTAGGATTACAGGTGTGAGCAATCAGCATACGTCCTTCAATAATTTTTTTTTTTTGGTCCGGTCGTGGGGCCTGAACTCTGGGCCTGGGTGCTGTCCCTCAGCTCTTCAGCTCAAGGCTAGCACTCTACCACTTGAGCCACAGCGCCACTTCCGGCTTTTTGCTTATGTGGTGCTGAGGAATCGAACCCAGGGCCTCTTGCATGCAAGGCAAGCGCTCTACCACTGAGCCCCACGTCCTTCAATAATTTTTTAGAGTGGGTTTTATGATGGTTTAGACCATGCCATGGGATCATGTCGGACCAACAAGTTTTGATAGAAAAATTCCTTTGAGGATACACCTGAGAAATCTTTCTGAGGACCCAAATTTCTTGTCTGAACTTTAGCATTGTACATTTAACTGCTTTAAGTGAAGGTTTCAGCAGGATTGTTTTTTTTACATTTAGATGCTTTAAAAATAATCTGATTGCAACAGCTAAGAATTTGATCCCATTTTATTGGCTATAAGAAGCCTTTATTCCCTCACTATTAAAATTCATAAAATAACACATCTGTACAGATATACTATTAATTTGTAGTTTGTTTGAGAGCCATCTCAGTATGAGAACTAGTTTGGTCATTTTTTTCTTCATTTCCTGACATTTATTTGGATAATTATATACATACTTAATTTCAGAATAGTGACACTATTGACATTATTTTTGCTTTGTTTGTTTGATTGGCCACAGATACTTTCCCTATTTAGACAGGCCCAGTATGTCCTTTTGTAGTTACAGTAATAGTTGTACATGAAACACGATGAGTTGTTGTTACTTTGGTTCTGTTACTTACATATGTTAACTCCTGTCCTCAGAACCTCAGCAGGGACGTTTGGAAAATGCTTGCTGATAAAGACTAACTTGCAATGTGGACTTGATCTCAGCATCAGTCTTTGCTTCTTCTGTCTTATACATAGAACTGCTTAGGAGCAAAGAGGCTCTCCTTGTCTTTAGTAGAGTTTAAAACCAGTGCCACTTAGCACTCATATCTCTGTGCAAAAGCTGTTGATCAAAAAGCTGTTGGGAACAGTCATGGCTCTGTGGTAGGAGCGGAGCTCCACTGGTTGAGTTAGTACAGTAAAGAACTCTTTGGTTGCAGGCTTATGTTCTGGACAGACCAAGGAAAAGAACCTAAAATCGAGTCTGCCTGGATGACCGGAGAGCATCGTGTAGTTCTAGTTTCCCAGGACCTTGGTTGGCCAACTGGTCTTTCAATTGATTATTTGAACAATGACCGGATCTATTGGAGCGATTCCAAGGAAGATGTGATTGAAACCATAAAATATGATGGCACGGATAGGAGAACCATTGTTAATGAAGGTAGGAAATGAATTAGGATTTGATATAGTAAATAACTTATTAACATAGTTTGAATGTCTTTGTCTATTTTCTCAAGAAGCAGCCACGGTTTTTGGAAGTGGTTTATACAGTGTCTGAATTAAATGGAAATTCATCCATTAGTCATGATTAAATCTTAGGGGAGGGGGCATGCATAGTTTTTAAAAAAATGTTTCTCAGGAGCAGACACTGAAATAATTGATGTTTCTGTCTGTTGTCCTGAGGTGGTGCTCATGTGTGCATATGAACTGCTTTTGGACATGTTCATTCTCCATGTGCCAGGTTGCTCATTATGCACAGCTGGAAACATCAGGAAGAAAAGCAGCATTTGGCTTCCTTATCCAGAGTCTGCAGAACTGCAGTGATCTAGTACATGTCTTTGTATCTGACCAGCATTGTCTTATGTTCAAAAGAGTGAAAAAAAGAAAAATCTCTGCTTTACAAATTGTTTTTCCTAAGTGGAATAGAATTAGCAAATTGGAACTGAGCTAGTGCCCTATAATTGATGTCAGACAGTATGCATTTTGTTTCATTAACTTGTTTTGTTTAATTTCTATCATCTTAAGCTTGCATTGTAGAACTTTCTCAGTCATATGTACACAAAGTCTGTCCCTGAAAAACCTGGGTTTTCCAGCCATTGTATTAAGACATAATTGAAGCAGAAAACCATCACACATAGAAAGTCATGCTGGGGTGTTGGATTTTTAAGAACTATGTTTTGTTTTGTTCTCCCACACTGGATGAGCAGCAAACAAGCCTTACAATCTGGACATCTTCGAAGACCAGTTATACTGGGTAGCTAAGGAGAAGGGAGAAGTGTGGACACAAAATAAATTTGGACAAGGAAACAAAGAGAAAATGCTGTCCGTGAACCCTTGGCTCACTCAAGTTCGAATCTTTCATCAGCTTAGATACAATCAGTCAGGTAATTACCAACCTTGGAATAAATGCCCTTTGTTATCATTTCAGAATAATGGCTATAGTGTTGGAAAAGGGTAGGCGATGATAATAGGCCTCTTTTGATGCACAAAAGAGCTATGTGTGTGTACAGTATGTGGGTGTCAGTATGGGTAAGTCGTTTAGACCATTGGGCCCAAAAGGTAAAATTGGAGATCAAATGCTATTACATGAGGAGCTTTTAATGTTAATATTTGAGCTCCAACCCAGACCAATTTGAATTAGAGTTTGCGGGAATGAAGATTTATATTTTGAATAGCTCCAGTGTGGTTCGGATGAGTCACAGCTACAAATTTCCTTTTGTTGTAAATATGGAAATTAAAGCCCAAGTCTCCTTGGAGGGCTACAGTGGAAATCTTGTCTATTACATGGGCTAGGCAGGCCATCTATGTAACTTATTTGGATAATGACAAATCTTGACCTAGTAGTGGTTCTTACTGGTCTTTTGAACCATCTCAACTTATTTATCACTGATGAGATTTTGAAGTGAGGCAGTGAACCAAATAGATGACCACTTTCTTGGGCATCTCTCCAAGGCCTAGAGGAGCTGAGCGATGCCAATAGAAAATGGGAGTCGTACAGAAATGGCATAGAGGGCCTGGGGAGAGACTGTGCGTGGGGAGCAGCAAGGATGGTGGTGAAAACGAGGGTGACTGTGATGGTAGCACAAGGCCTGGAGCTGTTCGGATGTTACCTGGGCTCTGCTATCACCTCACTCAATTGGTGGGCTTACCCTCAGTTGAGTATTCAGTCTCCTAGGAGCTAACTGCTGTTCTGGTCTTCTTTCCAGTGTCCAACCCTTGCAAACAGATCTGCAGTCATCTCTGTCTATTGAGACCTGGAGGATACAGCTGTGCCTGTCCCCAAGGCTCCAGCTTCCTAGCCGGAAGCACTGTTGAGTGTGATGCAGGTAGGGGACCACCTGAGCAGCCATGGGGCTTTCAGGAGCCAGAAGAATCCTGTGTGCTGGGTTCTATGCAGAGGAGAGTGGGAATACATGGAAGGGGAGGGATGAGAAATATGAACAGAGTCGAGTGGGACCTGGGATTCTGGGAATTATTTGTGAAGATCTGCAAAGGTTTGTGTCCCAACTCTACAGTTCTATTGTTTTGCAAAGATGCCTTGAAGAGTGTTTTCTTCAAGGCCTCTTCCTCATTCCTTTATCCCACACTGCATTCTTGTCTCAGAATTTACTCAGCCTTCCTTGAGGTCTTCTGGGCTGAGAACCATATTCCTGAGGAGGGAAGAGCTTGTGCAGTGAATATCCTGTTCACTGTGTTTGTCACATATTTATTTAAGAATTTTAACAACTGTAAAAGGCCATATTTGGAAGATGCCTTATGCTATTAGGAAACAAAGACCAGAATTAGAAAGTAGTGATTTAATTCCCATACCACCTCTTTTTGGAAAGACCTTTTCTCAATAACTCTTGAATTAAACAATTAACAGGTCACAGAGAATAATACGAATGTTCCCAACTACTGTGCTAGCTAAACAAGCATGTTAAAAAGTCATCCTGCAGCTCATCCTGTAGCTTGTTTATGACCAACACGGGACGTTTACAACTTTAGTTGGAGGGAAACTAAAGTGATATAACCACCTTCTACCACCAGGGGGCAAAAGTGGCCAAATAAGGAACTACCCTTTGAACCTTCATCCTAACCAGATTTAAAAATTGTCAGTTTGTAACTCCTCTGTACAGTATGTTCACAAATAAAATTAAATTAAATTAAAAAAAATTGTCAGTTTATGGGCTGGGAAGGTGGCTCACTGGTAGAGTGCTTGCCTTGCATGCATGAGGCCCTAGGTTCGATTCCTCAGCACCACTATAAGCAGAAAAAGCTGGAAATGGTGCTGTGGCTCAAGTGCTAGAGCACTAGCCCTGAGCTGAAGACCTGAGGGACAGTGCCCAGGCCCAGAGTTCACGCACCATGACTGGCAAAAAAAAAAAAAAAAAATTGTCAGGTTTGGAAAGTGAACTCAAGAGGGGAAAAAAAATCTCTTCCTTTCTCCTCTTTTGCCTTACCTCTGTGGTCATACTAACACAGCTAGGGAAATATTGGTAAGCGTCCAATACTAAAATCAATATTTTGAACAAAATAACCTTAGAGATCTGCTCTGTGCTGAGGATACATTATTCTGATGTTTATTGTAGAGGAGCTGTTGGGTAAGCTGTCACTCATGCATTACTATTTATGTATTTTTGTTGTTGTTATTGATCATGGGGCTAGAACTTAGGGCCTAGGCACTGTCCCTAAGCTTTTTTGTTGAAGCCTAGCACTCTACCACTTTGAGCTCTTACTTCTGGTTTTCTGGTAGTTAATTGGAGATAAGAGTCTCATGGGCTTTCCTGCCTGGGTTGGCTTTGAACTGTGATCCTCAGATCTCAGCCTCCTGAGTAGCTAGGATTACAGGTATGAGCCACCAGCACCTAGCAGAATTTTTTTTTTTAACCAGATGGATTGTATTGAGATTCTCACCTAAAATGACTTTAATTAAGTCCATTAATGGTGGCAGTCATCCATGTAGGGTCTTGGTTTGGCATTTGACTTAGTCAGTTCAGTCAGTAATAATTAAGTTCTTACTATGTGGATAAAACCAAGTTCCTTGGTGTCATTGAGCTTAGTTGTTAATAAGATAATAGAGAAACTGCAAACATATAATAGGTCAGGAGGTAAAGGTGCCAAGAGGACAGAGAGGGATGTGGGTAGCATGACTGTCCTTGCTCTTTTAGGGAGAATGCTCAGGAATAGCTTCTCTGATAATCAGAACCCAAACTGAAGGACTAAGCCTGGGAGGTAGGGGTGGGGAGCTAAAACCCACTCCTAAATAAAGTCTTCAAGTGTCTTTGAAGATTTTGAAGCATACAGGACCCATCAGGCATATTCAGGGGTATGGGGAGGTTTGGGAGGGGTGGGGGAAACTGAGCGGGAGCAGTGACCCAGAGAATGAAGATTAAAAAATCAGATGGCCTTTGGTTACCTGCGTACCAGATCCCTGTGTATCTGTGTCTGTGTCCACCGGTTGACTTGTCTCCTTGTGATGCTCTGGAGCCTCTTATTTGTTTGCTTTTGTTTTTGTGCCAGTCTTAGGATTTGAACTCATGGCCTGGTCACTATCCCTGAGCTTTTGTGCCCTAGGATAGTGCTCTACCATTTTGAACTACAACTCCATTTTTGGCTATTTGGTAATTACTTGGAAATAAGAGTCCCATGGATTTTCCTGCCTGGGCTGGCTTTGAACTAAGATCCTTGGATCTCAGCTTCCTGAGTAGCTGGGGTTACAGGCGTGAGCCAACAATGCCTGGCACATTGCAGCTTTGAAGCTCTTGAGCTTAATGGTTCTCAGAGGGGACTTTGAAGACCTTCAATGTAGATATAAAAATCTTAAGAGATTTTCTTACCACAAAGTAGCTTTTGGTGATGAGTCTAGAACTTAGCGTCTCTCCAGTCTTTGACAGGGGTGAGGGAGGATGAGATGCTATAAACTGCCTTTTTCTTTCCACAAAATGCCCTCTGTCCAATTGTATTACTGATATAGGAATTTCCTTGATTTAGAGAGCAGAGAGACTAGCTGCCCTGCCCGCAGGCCTCAGTCCCAGCCTCACCCCTAGACAAACAGCCGCAGCCCTGGGCAGGTCTGGACGGCGTAGGAGCTCTGCTGAGCATGCAGACTTAACACATGTCTGACTTTCCCTTTTGCAGCTATCGAGCTCCCTGTCACCATGCCTGCGCCGTGCAGGTGTATGCACGGAGGAAGTTGCTACTTTGATGAGAATGACCTCCCCAAATGCAAGTATGTCTGAATGCTGAAGTTCCAACTGTAGGCCTTGCTGTTCTGGGGGAATTGAGATGTTAACAGTAGCTAGAGAGAAAGCACAGGAGCCTGGCCCGCTCACTTATTTTCACATTTGAAGCAGTGGGTCTTCCTTTAGGGGAGTCCATGGAGACTAAGGCTGTGCTTCTCGGATTAGATCAGATGTTACAAAATGGCCTGTGCAGCAGGTGCAAATGCCCGTGCTCATTCCCAGGCTCTCTGTGTTCTGAACAAGCTTCATGAAAGCCTGTCACAGGAAAACACCACCTTGGGGCCCATCTTCACTCCCCGGGGAAGAATTCTCCGGTATAAGGACAACTCCTGTAGGTTTATTAGATGTGACTGGCCCTGTAGGTGTGGCAGTTACTCCTTTGAAAGTGAATTTCTGGAATCAGACCACTGCTTTTTCAGCAGGATAAGCAGAACTTACCTTGCATGGGCTGCAGTGCTTGACCGACAGGTCATTTATTCCATCAGAACTCTGTGGCCCAATGTGCTAATAAAGTTGCAGTAAAACCCCCAACAAGGCAACAGGAACACTGAAGGTTTTCTTTTTCTTCCAGGTGTTCCAGTGGCTACACAGGTGCATATTGTGAAATTGGGCTTTCCAAAGGTCTCCCTCCAGGGACAAGTAAGTGTTCAGAATTTGAGCAACCTGTAAGGGAAATAAGCAAAGATAATGAATTTAACCAAAGCCTTCTTGTTCAAGAACACTAATAAAATAGACAAGGCTCTATGTAGACTGAACAGAACTAAAAGAGAGCTGTAAGAAGTTGCCATCATGTGAACTTGGCGGGTATGGGATAATGTCAGAGACTTACAAGTTCAAAGCTAGCATTAAAAAAAATCCTGTATTTGGAACATGCAAGGGACTATCACGATATATTCTACAACTGTTAACACAACAATAAGGAAAGGAAGTAGGAGTGGCACATGGCTCAGGTGGCAGTGCACCTGCCTAGCAAGAGTGAGGCTCAGAGTTTACACCTTCGTGTTACCAAAGATAGGTTTCTAATAGTTGTAACCCCTAAATTGAAAACTGTCATACATTATTTCATTGCTGTCCTTTGTTTGTGCTGGTATTGGTGCTCGAATATAGGGCCTCGGGCTCCTGATTGACTTTTTCTTTCAAGCTAGCACTCTACTACCTGAGCCACAGATCCACTTCTGACTTTTTTTTTTTTCTGGTTAGTTGGAAATAAGAATCTCATGGATGGGCTGGCTCAGTGGGAGAGCACTTGTCTTGCATTCATGAGGCCCTGGGTTTGATTCCTCAGCACCACATAAGCAGAAAAAAAAAGCCGGAAGTGGCACTGTGGCTCAAGTGATAGAGCGCTAGCCTTGAGCTGAAGAGCTGAGGGATAGCACCCAGGCCCAGAGTTTAGGCCCCACGACTGGAACCAAAAAAAAAAAAAGAATCTCATGGACTTTTCTGCCTGAGCTGGCTTTAAACTTTGATCCTCAGATCTTTGCCTCCTGATTGGCTAGGAGTGCCGGGCTCTTTTCAGACATTCTTTCCTAAAGAATGGATTGGTTCTAGCCCTCAGCTTCCACAGCTACGTTCTTTTTCCTTGTGTTAATGGCTCTTTGTTTCTTCCCTCTCCGACTGCAGCGATGGCTGTGCTGTTGACGTTCCTCCTGATCATCATCATTGGAGCCCTGGTACTTGTAGGATTTTTCCACTATAAGAAAACCGGCTCCCTTTTGCCTGCTCTGCCTAAGCTGCCAGGGTCAGTTGCATTCTATGGAACATCTGTTTGAGAAGCCTGGGGTGAATATGACCCAGTGGATGAATTGTTTTTGTTTTTTGTTTTTTTAAATACAATGCTTAGTCCAGTTTTTCTTCAGAGACAAAAAGAGGGGAGGGTTTAAAGCAGTCACCACACAGCACAAGGTCTTCAAGTCTGAATGACAGATCATGTTTTGTAGCCCAGGTGGTTGTGCCCCCTGGTGGTCACTGGGCCGGCCTGCAGCAGAACCAAGCCTCTAGGTATCCCTGGGCTTTGTCCCTGGATGTCTTGGATGTCTCAGGTCTCAATGTTTGGGAATGACCTTGAATGTGATCAGGCAGACCAGGGGACCTAGTGGCCAGAGTTCATGTGCACACTGAGTGGGAGTTGCATATTTCCTTTAAGATTTAGCAATGGGGGGTGGGTGGGAAGGAGCTATTGCAAAGTTTCTTTTAAATAACAGGAGTTTGTGTTGGTTACTTCCAGCTTAAGCAGTCTTGTCAAACCATCTGAAAATGGAAGTGGGGTGACCTTCAGATCAGGGGCTGATGTTAACATGGATATTGGAGTATCTGGTTTTGGTCCTGAGTCTGATATTGACAGATCAATGGCCATGGTAAGTCTTTTCCCAGTGATGATTTGAAGGTTGCCATTTATTTTAGCAAAGAAACACTTTTCATAAAGATGTATAAGTAACCTTGGGAATATTGAGATAAAGAATAAACTCTACGTTATTTAAGCCAGGTTAGAAAATAGTTCGCTGCAAAAAAAAATGTGTCTAAACATATCAGTAACAGTAAGAAAATTGAAATTTATCCCTACTCTAAGCCACACTGCTTAATCAGAGCCATAATGAGCCTTAAGCTTAATTGGAATCTTAGTGAACTTTATGAGTAGTTTAAGAGTGGGGAGGGAGCATGATGTTTTATTTTTATTTGATGACTTTTTGTATACACATATTTATATGCAATTCCCTACTCTATAATATCACATTTTTTTCTATCATGTAGAGTTGGCAAATAGTGTTTTTTGGGTTGATTGAAACCATGGCTTTGCTACTTTTGACGTTATAAAAGGCATAGAGTTTGTGTTTTGACCTCCTATCTGTAGAATGGTACAAGCACAGATCCTGGGAGGGTCAGATGAGTGACTTTATAAGAGCCTAGCACAGAGGGAACTGCGCATAATCTGTTCTGGGAACCAACTTCCAGTATTTCATCCTTCCCCTGAATTTTTCAGGTTTTGCCATGCCTGGAGGATACAACATTACCTGTTTCTCTCTTATTTTTCCCCTCTCCTTTACTCTCCTTTTTTATTCTCCTTCTGCTACCCACCTTCTTCTCTACCGTCCAAAACCAATCCCAAAGTGCATTAAGGGGTCATAGAGAATTCAGTTATAGGAAATCTCTCTTTTTCTAGACCTGATAACTTAGCACCTTTATGTTACTTTAAATAATGGCTGGCCATTTGGAATCGTGGGTCTCTTCTGCCACCCCTCTGTTGTTCCCTCCTCCAATTCTCTTAAGCCCTCATTGTTTTTAGTAACTTTGGTAAAGTTCCCTGCTTTCTATGTGGCCTGACCTCTCTTCCCCTCCCCTGTCAGAGTGAGCATTTCGTCATGGAGATGGGAAAGCAGCCGGTGATATTTGAAAACCCAATGTATGCAAGCAAAGACATTGCCGTCAAAGCGGAGCTGCCAGCCCAGGTGAGGCCCCATGCACCCGTCCTCTCAAGCCATACTGTTGCTGGTCTCACTGTATGACTGGATAACATTGTAGACATCTCCAGATGCTCTTTCCCCCATGCCTCAGCCTTCCTCTCTGCAGTAAAGGGGATGCCCCGGACACAAGCCCTACAAACAATCACTACACAGCCCTGATACTTGGCAGCCACGATGGGGGTGCTCACCATCACACTCTCTGAATCACACATTTTGAGAGGTGTCCTAGGGTCACGTACCCTAGGGGTCTAGAGTGGGCAGAGGCCTGGGAAACACCCTGACTGATGCCACTCTGAGAGGTGTGGTCTCAGTGAGTGAGGGAGTAGCTGGTCACACAGCTGTGGTCTGAGCAGGTTAAAGGGAGGGGAGTCTCCCAAGCTTGCCTTTGCTAGACTTTTCTGGAAATTACAGAGCTCTATCTATCTATCTATCTATCTATCTATCTATCTATCTATCTATCTATCTATCTATCTATCTTCTCTCATTCAGCCCTTACTATTCAGCATCTTTAAGAACAGCTGGTGCAGGTAAAGGAAAAGAACTTTTCATATCCAGAACTTGCCTGTGTCCACCTGCATTTGTCCAAGCAACTATGACGCTATTGACAATGCAGAACTTTCAATGCTCACACCCATACTCCTTTCAGATCCAACATGTGGCATATTTTAGTAAAATAGAAAGAGTTTTCCTAAGTATAGAAATCTTTGACTCTTGGAGTCATTTTGCCTGATTCTTTGATAATAGACAGCAAGACTTTAATACTTGATGAAATAGATGTGACATTTCATGCTGACATGTTCAGTTAAAATAAAATGAGGCCATGCATACAAACACATAGACCAGTTTGAGAAGAAACAAAATGATTAGTGTAAAGTGTTAGGAAAGGAGAAAATTACACGTTCTATAATTTGGATATTCAAGGTAATTTGGGGTTAAGGAGGAAACTTAGAATCAAATGAGTATTATAAAAATATGTAAAGGCGTATTCCACTATGCCTCTTCTTTCAAAAATCAGTTTTTAAGCGGCCCTTTGAGATCATTAACTTTATCCTATACATTTAAATATAAGATTCTCTCTCATGAGTAAATTTGGGCCCCTGTCCATGCTGTCCTTCTAGTATTGGGCTGCCAGTATAAAATGAGGATATCTTTTATTCAAAAATGTGGTCAACAATGGGAATAAAGTCACAGAAATTGTAGGAATTGTCATTGGATTGTGGAAGATATTTGCCTTCTAGGATTAAATGATGTGATTTAGTGGCTGGTGTTTTTGATTTGGGGGTCTAGGTTGCCAGGTTTGTTTGTCTGGTCATGTCTGTAAGAGAACAAGGTACACACAGAATCAAAGACTTTATAAAGAATTTTATGGCAAAGTTGCTTATTACTGAATTATTTCAAAATTGGATAAGCACCTTTGAAATGTTCACAGGTGACTGTATCTGAAAATGTGGAAAACAAGAATTATGGAAGTCCTATAGATCCTTCTGAGATAGAGCCAGAGCCAAAGCCAACTTCCCCCAGTGCTGATGGGACTCAGGTAACAGCGGTTGACTCCTGAAATAACCCTTCCTTAAGACTTTTTCTTTAATGATGTATGGTCTCAGCTCTGTTGTTATTACTCATAGTTAGCACCAGATGGCACTAATTTACATTCTTTTCATCTAGTCATCTGACTTCATCATTCCTGTGTTTGTTAGACCGTTCATCCTGTAACATTATTACCCTCCCTGCGCCGTGCAGTGTGTAATACTAGAGATTAAAAGAAGAAAAACACTACTTGATGGAGTTTATCACACCTGCTGGAGTGACCTTTGCAATTTTAGGCTGACATGTAGAGAGAATTTCAGTGAACACATTTGATGTAAAACTCAAATGTGTTAATGGACAGTCTATAGCTAGTCCGAATGCACACGTATGTATGCCGTTGTGCCAGCTCCAGCTGCTTGATCCTGATAGACTATTTTATCTCAGAGCATCACAGTCCTTATGGGTGCTCAGAATATTAGGTACACAGTTCCTTGTACCTCAGAAAGTGCTCTGTGAATTAGAAGGCAGTGCGTAATCCCTGGCCCTCTCTAAAATCTTCCAGTAATGTATTTTCTAATTCAGGGTAATTTCTAGAGGCAGGGTTCTGTCTTCCTGTCTCCTCTTTCCGGGGTGGTATCCTGTATAGAATAGGGGCTCCTTAGACGTGGGTTTGTGAATGGCGCTGTCCACTTGTGCTCCTCACCTTTCCCAGAGTAAGACTCCAGAAAATGTGGCAGGAGTAGGGTGTCTGTTCCTTTGTCTCCTCCCAGGTTTTGTAGTCAGAGCTGTGGCTAGCAGGACAGGCATCTTTCCACGAGGGATGGGGCCACCCACCATCACCTAGGGAGTTTCTCTTTGGACTCTCCAGATTAGAGTCCTCTGAGTCCCTTGAGTACTTGTGGCTGGTTCTCATGACCACAACTGAATGACTTAATCTTTATGACTCTTATCTTACAAGGATAATAAAGGGACCTTCCTCAAGGGGTTGCTGAGATCAAATCAGAAACTTGTAAAACTCTAAGAATAATCCCTGACACATAGTAAGCACTCAGTAAGTTATAGTTGTTGTTGTTGTGATGGTACACAGGAGAAAATGAAGTGAGAGTGGCTATCTGCTGCTTTGGTGCCCTTTCCCCTTTGGTGCTTGAATTCAGGGCCTTGTATTCTTTTTTATTTCTTTTTAATTTTCCTTTTTTTTTCTTTTTTTCTCTTCTTTTCCTTTCTTCCTTCCTCTCCTTCCTTCTTCTTTCCTTCCTTTCTCTCTCTCTCTCTTTCCTTCCTCTTTCTCTCTCTTTCCTTTCTTTCTTCCTTTCTTTCTTTCTTCCTTCCTTCCTTTCTTCCTTCCTTCCTTCCTTCCTTCCTTCCTTTCTTTCTTTCTTTCTTTCTTCCTTCCTTCCTTCCTTCCATCCTTTCTTTCTTTCTTTCTTTCTTTCTTTCTTTCTTTCTTTCTTTCTTTCTTTCTTTCTTTCTTTCTTTCTTTCTTTCTTTCTTTCTTTCTTTCTTTCTTTTCTTTCTTTCTTTGCCTGCCCTGGGCTTGGATTCAAGGCCTGGGCACTGTCCCTGAAATTTTTTGCTCAAAGATAGCCTTCTACCATTTGAGCCACCATTTCACTTCCAGCTTTATCATTATCATTGTTATTATTATTGCTGGTTAATTTGGAGGTAAGAGTCTTACAAACTTTCCTGCCTAGGCTAGTTTTGAACCATGATCCTCAAATCTCAGCCTCTTGAGCAGCTAGGATTACAGGTATGAGCCACTGTCATGTGACATAGGCCTTGTATTCTTGCTCAGCTTTTCAGCTCATAGCTGCACCATTAGAGTCATGTCTCCAGTTCAGAATTTTTGCTGGTTAATTGGAGATTAAGTCACAAGTACTTTTCTACTCTGAGCCTTGATCCTCAAATCTCAGACTCCTGAATAGCTAAGATTATAGATGTGAGTCACTGGTATCTGGTTGAGTGGCTATTCTTGAATTGACCAACTTAGGAAAGGAGTTTTACAATTTATCTTTTCCCTCTGGTTTCTAGAGAGCTCTAGAAACTTCTTTCCCTCCCAAAAATGTGTATATCTTAGCTTCATTTGTCTTCCTTGTACCAAAGTAGTCACAATTATCTGTGTGGCAAAGCGTCTAGATTATTACAGGTACAGATTATATGAAAACAGCCTGAAGAATTTCAGTTACTGTTCAGGGACTCTAGGAAGAATTGAAAATCTATCACATGAGCCTTGTTCCAAATGATTGCTTTTATGGGAAGATAGCTTACAATTTGAATCAAAAGAAGAGAAACCTATGAAAAACTCCATTATTCAAGAGTTTTATTTCCTTTTTCTTCTTCTTCTTCTTTTTTTTTTTTTTAATTCAGGCCTCAAAATGGAGTATCTTCAAACGAAAACTCAAACAAACCAGCAACTTTGAAAATCCCATCTATGCAGAGGTAATTTTTAACCATTGTCCTTAGCCTAACACTGTTAGAAACAATTTGAATAGCCTCTTAGATTCTTGCAAGTAATCTGGCCAAGATTCATCTTGGCACAAAACTGTGACTGGTGTGGTTGGTTGGGACTAAGGAGTTGATTCTCATTTCATTGTGATTGCAGATGGACAATGAGCCAAAGGAAGGCGTGGCTGTGGCCCCTCCTCCATCCCCCTCTGTCCCTGAGAAAGTGTCTTCCAAAAGAGACCCCAGCATAGGCTACACTGCAACAGAAGACACGTTCAAAGACACTGCAAATCTTGTTAAAGAAGATTCAGAGGCCTAGCCACATTGGTTATTTAGGGAATAATTAGAAACACACTTTTGCACGTATATTTTTTACAAACAAATGAAAAGAGATAACATTCAGTACTTTATAAAAAAATACTGTACAAAAAATATATTTTTCTCGGGTTGCCTGGAGTCAGATATGTCTTATATATGTGTGTTTTTTACTCATGCTGTTTCATATTTTTACAAATAATTATCACGATGTACTATATGTATATCTTTGCACTGAAGTTGTCTGAAGGTGATGCTATAAATATATTGTACATTTGTAAATTTTGGGAAGATTATCCCATCACTGAATTTGCAAATAAAATTACCTGTTGACTTGGTTGGTGATCATTAGAATGGACTTAGACCTTTGATCATGTCTAAAGAAAAGATATTATTTGTGTTTCCTTTAAAGCTATTCAGGAAAGGAATCCTTTCTTGGGTTCATTAATTCAGTGCATCAGCAGTTAATTACTGCTCAAAATTACATGTCGGCTTGATTAATAGGTGCATGGCTAGAGGCCATAGTCTCTGTATAGACGTCTGGATTTGCCTAGAGATGCTTCAGATGATACAGAAGTTAGGGGTTGTGAATGCATTTCACCTCTCTGTACATTTCTGTTGTCTCACCAGCTACAGCTTCACGTGTTCTCCGACTAGCTGCCAAGTCACCACTCTTATTTGTAATGTCTGAAGGAAATCCCCATGTGATAAAGCAAACATGTCACCTACACTGAGTTGGTATTCGACTGAATGACCTTTTTTCCTTAGAGCAATGTAAGCCCTTGCCCAGCATTTCTGGTGGTGACCAACCCCTAGTGACTGGAGCTCAGTAGCTGAATGACTAAAACCAAATCCATGTCTGCATAAAGCAAGGTGCAACACATTCCTAAACTGCAAAGCCTCAGCTAGGTTTTGCTTTCTGTGTGTGAAGATAGCATTCTATTGACTATTTATTTCCTGAGTTGAACATGAATAGAAAGGGAAACCATTCTTACTGAGCCTTTTTTCAGGTCCTTTGCCTAAATCTGTCCATTGGAGTCAGGATGTTCCGTATAACCCTGATCTTCTCATTGTAGCTGGTCTAGTCTGAAGAACAAGAACCATGACAGGAATATACAGTTTCCACAGCCAGCAGTGTTCCTGCCTCTCTGTGCTCAAATTGCACATTTGTTAAACCGAGAATGAATGGGTGGATGAATGGATGGATGAAATGTACTACTGATTATTTTAATCCTGAGCTCTCAAAATATTTGTATTTTGAGTGTTGATTGTAATTACTTTGATTAGACATGCAACTGGAAATGCTGCTGCTGAAAATTTTCTAATAAATGTGTATTTTATCAGACTGGTGTATTTCTTATGTCTCTATCACAAATCACTCGTATTTTACTGGGGAAAAAAGAAAGCTTGATTGCTTTCTGCTTCACTAATTCCTTGCCATTGTTTTTTTTTCTAGACACAAATCCATAAGTGAGTTGCTTGAAAAATCCACAAATCTCTGCATTCATTTTGGTGGTGTCCATGATATGTGGGAGTAAGTTAAGAGGGAAGAAAGCAAACAGGACTCTAGGAAGTAGCACGAAAGTCAGATTCACGATTAGACAACAATTGCTGTCAACAATTGCAGTCATTCACTGAGATGACAGCTAGTGTTCCTATGTCCTAATGACACAGTCATTTGTCAGGAAGACCACTTCTCAACATTACTTTCAGGGTAAGGGTAGGGCCATCCTCCTGATGTTAATCTCAATGAGCTATGAGAGTTCTGTGTGAAACTGTGGGTAAGGAGTGTGGCCCACAGCCTGGTGTAAAGTGTGTTTTTGATCAGTAGTGGCCATGATTACAATGATTGATGAGGAAGAAAGAAAGGGGAAGAGATACCTGAGTCATTTTAAACTTTCTTCACATTGATTTGTTGAATTGAAGCCCTGTTATACAACTACTTATTGGCAATAATTTAAACAACTTCCTCAAATGATTTTAATGTATAGCCAGGGTGAGAAGTCCTAGTTTAAGCAGAGAAGCTAGTGATTGTTTTTCCCCCCTTTCCTTTCCTTCTTCTTTTTTTTTTTTTTTTTTGTTTTAATTTAATTTTTTGGGGGATAGGGTCTGTCTGTAGCCCAGGCTGGCCTTGAATTTGTGATCCTCCTACCTCTTTCTCCCAAGTGCCAGTGTTACAGCAGTACACCACTATAGCTGGCTTTTCGTGTACTTGTAAATGGAGAAGATGATGGAGATGATGGAGTTTTTAGCAGGGCTTTTGATAGAATACATGTTTTTAGTTTGTGAAGGAGTGGAAGTAGTCATGATTGAAAAAAAGTTTAGTGTCATCCAGTCACCTGTGGCTCATGGCTATAATCCTAGCTATTCAGGAGGCTAAGTCCTGGAGGAATGTGGTTCAAAGCCAACCTAGACTAGTGGTGTGGCTTAAGTGACAAAGTGCCAGCCATAAGTAAGAGAGCTAATATAAAATGTGAAGCCTTGAGTTCAAGCCTCATAACTGGCAAACCCTCCCCACATTAGGTAGTCTTTTCTAGGTGATTGGAAGGGTAACCAACACCCCTATCTATGGGAAAACCTGGGCTGAGAAAGATGGAAATGCAGATTCAGGTCACAGTCTGGAGAGCAGAACCACACATGACTGAAATCACCTCTCCTGAATGCTTCCCTGGCTCTTGTCTTACGCCAACAGTATTTTCTCCAATTCAAGGATTAGGGCCTCTTGCATTAGCATTCCCTGTGTCTAGAACCTGGCCCCTTTCCTGTGTTCCAGCCTCCACCACAAGGATGGTTTGTTACTTAAGCAGCAATTGCCCTGGGAGGACTTTTAGCGCCAACTCCAGCAGAAAGGATTAGAAAGTCCTGTATTTGCCCTCACAGTGTAGGAAAAGTATGTTTCCAACATGACAGCTGCATGTGTGCTTTTAGAATATTTCTTTTTGAGGGGACGGGGCGGTGGGCAGGGGGAGAATAAAGCATTGAGAAAGACACATTTTGGAAGATAAGCACCCTCGAGCTCTTCCTGCTACAATACTTTACCGTCACTTTCCCCCAAATGTAAAGGGACGAGATTTATTCTGGGAAAGGCAATGGAGACTTTATTTGCGAAACAAAAACATGGTCTTAGCCAGGTGCTGGTGGCTTATGCCTGTAATCCTAGCTCCTCAGGAGACTGAGATCTGAGGATCGTGGTTCAAAGCCAGCCCGGGCAGGAGAGACTATGAGACTCTTATCGCCAATAAACCACTAGAAAACCAGAAGTGGCGCTGTAGCTCAAGTGCTCTACGCACTCGTCTTGAGCTGAAGAGCTGAGGGACAGCGCCCAAGCCCAGAGTTCAAGCCCCATGACTGACAAAAAACAAAACAAAACAAAAAAAAACCCCAAAACCATCAAAAACAACAATAACAAAAACCTGCATGGTCTTGTAAATTACAGAGGTAGGATGTAGGCTTTGTGCTGGAAAGTCCATTTATCTGCCTTGGCCTTTGCCAACAGCCTTGTTCAGAACAGCATATACAGACTCCAGTCACAGAAGCAAGTAGGATTTCTCCCAGAGCCACTGACCACTGACTAACTGACTGGAGGTCAGTGTCCCCTCCCCAGAGGTCAACAGCTCGGAAGGAAAGTGAAGGAGCTGGACAAGTTTAGCTTCAAGTTCTCCTCAAACTTTGAAGTCCAAGAGCTCAATAATTTATCTCCCTTCCAGTCTTCATTTGAAATTCAGTTAATTTCAAACTCACTGTTAAAAGTAAATTCTAAGCTTGTTATAAGTAACTTCAAAGAAACCAGACTCCATGATAACATTTTTCTTTTTATCTGCAAATGCTCCATCTCTCTCTGGGTGAATTGTCAGAGGGTGCACTTTAGAATTTAGTACTGTTATTCTTTTTAAGTATCTGAAGGCCTGGCCTGGCGATTTCAGAGTGAAAGTTGCTCTATGTCTGTGAGTATGTCCTTTTCCAGGGGACTCATGCAAATGTCCTTATAGATCCAAGGTTCAGGAGACTTTCATGGGATCCTAAACCCACATGGAGTTTCTTTAGATACAAGAGAGACTTAACTGCCTCTCTTATCTCTTCCTCCTCCCCTGGGTGAGCATCTTGGGAAGGTGGGTAGCACTCACACATTGCCCTTGATAGTGAACTTGGTATAATAGGTGTTAGCCAAGTAGGGAAAAAAGAAAGGCAGGAAAGAAGTCCTCAGCCTCCAGAGGTAGACAAATGATCCCATGGATGCTTGTCTAGCTCACAGGACTTATGGTGTGAGGAGTTAGTAAATGGAATGCTACTCACTATTGGGTGGTAGCATCCTTTCCCCCACTGAAAGAGATCATACTGAGTATGACACATACTACTGCTGATATCCCTCTCTTCCTGAGGAGGGCAACCCCCAAAACCAGCTGATGGAGCTGATGAAGCATACCATATTCATGGTGGAGAAACACCTTGATGTGGAAGAGAACTTACTAGTAACTCTACTCTTTCCATTTAGTCAATATACTCTTTGCCATTACATACTGTGAACGATGCTTGGATGCATCCTTTTGTGAAACGGTATTAACTCCATAGGACTTCAAGAGTTTCTGGATGCATGGATACCGCTGTAAAGGTGGGAGGAAGGAGGGAAAAGAAGGGTAGATGAAAAGGCTAGGTTGTGAAGCCCTGGCTGCAGAGGCCTCAGCCAGTCTTTAGGATGTTTGGGAGCTTGGAATAGTACTTCCGAGCTGTCCTGAATGGAGGCAGAGAGCAACAGTGGATTTCTTTGTTACTAGGCATTGGCCATGGACCACTCCCATAACTGTGGTGGAGAAATGGCCTGGATAGGGTCAAGTCCACTGAGAAGCACAGCTCTAAGTCTTATGCAGCTGGGGTGGGGGCAGTGTCTAGGCCCTATAGAGAGACCCAGAAGGCACATGAAAGTGGCTTCCCCTTCCGTCTGATGCTGCCACCAAGTGCTAACATTTGACAGAGAACAGAGAAGAGTTGCCTAGTCAGGATGATGTGGCATTTAGCGACGGATGGATTAACCTACCAATGACTACCAATGACTTGGCTTCCATTTGCCAGATCTGCCCATTTTAGAGCAGCTACCCTAAGATTAAGCACCTTGAAGATTTCCAAACCCACACCCATGTACTCTCTCCGTCTCTCTGTCTCTGTCAGTCTCTCTTATTCACAGCATGCCTTCACTCTTTTTTTAATCCTTTTTTTAAAAAAATACATTTTTTATTGTAAAAGTACTGTACAGAGGGGTTACAGTTACATGAGCAAGGTCATGAGTACATTTCCTATCAAGCATTGTTACCTCCTCCTTTGTTTTTCCCCTACCCTCTCTTCCCTCCCATCTCTACAACTACACTCCCCCCTCCCCTTTTCCTCCCTCCCTGCCTAAATTGTAAAGTTTTTTTTTCAACATAGTGTCTTCTACATCTTATTGTTACAATGGATCAACCCGTATCCCTATTTAAGCATTTTGTTTTTTTCTTTCCCCTCCCCAAGCTAGAGAAGTGTATATACAAGATGCAGGGCACTGACATTAAATACAGTGAAAAAAGGGGTTATACCGGGGGGGGGGGGGGGTAGCATACAAAGAAACAAAAAAAATCACATGGTACATTATAAATATGTTAGGAACAATAGCAAGAGAGAAAAAAACACTTGTGTCCCTATCTTGGGGTTCATTTCACTTAACATCATCTTATGTCTTATATACATAGCTTTTGACATTTTCTGCTTGTCTCAGACATATGCTAGTTATTGCAAATAAGGGAAACCATAGGACCTATGTTTCTTTGGGCCTGGCTTACTTCACTTAATACAATTTTTTCCAAGTCTTTCCATTTCCTAACAAATGGGGTGATGTCATTCTTTCTGATGGAGGCATAGAATTCCATTATATATATATATAAGCATATATATATCACATTTTTTTGATCCATTCATCTACTGAAGGGCATCTGGATTGGTTCCATATCTTAGCTATGGCAAATAATGCAGCAATAAACATAGTTGTGCTGGTAGTTTTAGTATGGACTTGTTTGTGATCATTTGGGTAAATGCCCAAAAGTGGGATTGCTGGGTCATAGGGGAGCTCTACGTGGAGTCTTTTGAGGAACCTCCATACTGCTTTCCAAAGTGGTTGAACAAGTTTACACTCCCACCAACAATGCAGTAGGGTTCCCTTCTGGCCACATCCCCTCCAGCATCTGTTGTTATTAGATTTCTTGATTATAGCCATTCTAATTGGGGTGAGGTGGAATCTCAATGCTGTTTTGATTTGCATTTCTTTTATGGCTAGAGAGGTTGAGCATTTTTTCACATGTATATTTCCCTTCAGAGAAGTTT